CTGCTGTGCCGAGCCTACACGTACACTACCCACCTAACCGACTTATTGTTCCAGTGTCCCTCCAACTCACCTGAAGCTTTGCCCACACACACCATCGACCTCCACTGTCCGAAAGGGCCGTCGCGATGTGCGACCAACTGGCCATTGGACGCTCGTGCTGTGAGGGGGAGCTGACGAGCCGGCGGACGACTGTCGTGGAACAGAGATGAGGCACCTTCCCACGTTTGTGTTTGTGATGACCAACACAGCCAACAACCGTAAGGCACACTGCCTATCGCGAACGTACACTGAACTGACCAAGTCAATCCCCTCAACGTGATGGCCCGGCTGCGTAATAGCGCAATTGTTTTGTTGTCAATCAATATAGTTGGGCCATCCATACCACCAATAGATGTTGTCTCCTTGTCTCCCACGTGGAGCTGCCGAACTTACTTTTCAGGGGGAAAATGGCTTCTCCAACTGCTCGAAGGTAGTCATGAATATCCTATCAATGGGCCCTTTTTCTTTTGCCATGTTGTCCCTCGAGGCATGTCGAGCATTCGCCAATGAGAGAAGAGAGCTGCCGAAAGCGCATATACTGCAGAAGTTACCAGTCTCCTACGCCTCTCAGTCCCAGGACCAGCGTTAGAAGAGCTCCACACAGCCCGCCCTGGCTTGCTGGCGAGGCGTCATCTCGCTCCGATAGTAGTGTATTATCAGTCCACACTTTCGCCTCCCCTCCCACAAGCACCCTGTCAGCTTTTGGTACCCCAACCCGTTTTCATAGGCACCGGCGGTAGCGCGGCTTCGGTACCGGCTCACCAGCACCGTATCAAAACTGCAGCGAAAGAGAGGAAAGGTACCCTCAGCAGCACGCTCTGTCGCTCCCCCTTATTGTAGCTCTGCGTGTACTTCACCGACTATCCACCAGGTTCCCAAGTCCTCGGGAAGCTGTCCTGGCTGCTGACCTGGTCGGTTCGGAGGTCGTGGTGGCTTCTACACTAGGTACCCCCAGCCGGACACCCAAAACGGATAAACTTGTAATTCAGCAAGGGGTTTCTGCCACATGCCCCTCGGACGGAGTCATGCTATAGGCCAATCCGCTGATTCAACGGCTCAGACCTTGACCGACCTTAGTTTAACACACCTCTTCCCAGGACCAAGGCTTCGAGAAGGTCGGAAGAAGTGTCTTAGTTTGCACCACTTCCGGCCGCCTGTATCTCTTGCAGGATGGAACCCCGAGGAGCTAACGAATACCGTTGCATCAACCAACATTTGCATTCATTCCTTTTCCCCTTGAATAAAGACAATGTACTGTCGCCATCGTCATCGCAAAGCGAGCACAACTGGCGGCCAGAACACACTCTTTCCTGAGTGCTTGCCGGCAGCATTGGCTTGCTTCAACTTCACAGGATGACACCCACCAGTTTTCGCAAGACACAACAGGGCTGGCCTTTGCACCCTCATTTTTCTCATTCTTTCAAATGCGCCAAGTGCAGCAACATATACATTAGGCCCAATCGAGACTCGGTCTTCGCCATCGGCCTCATTTCCCCTTGGGCTGTCCTCAATATCCTTGCTGCCCAATTCGACAATTGATGCCGGCCGCTGCAGCCTCTATATATATATATCTATCGTCTTCGGCACCCCTCAACCGAGATGAACCTGATTCGACTTGTATGTCAATGCAAGGTGCCTTGGATGTGCAGGTATGTTCAAGCCCAGGAACCAAAGGTTCGTAGACATATGCTGCTGTCGCCGGCCCGTGATATCTGGCGGCTGACGGGAGAGCTGGGCATCTAGCCATTCGAGGGCTCTGTTCCCTGCCCATATGACAGCACACCGGCAGTTTTCTCGTAAAAATTCATTTTCCGATGGTCGGGCCAATAGTAATGTGGGAATGTCGTTGACAATACTATTCTCGTCCACTGGGAATTTCGATGTTCCTGAAGATGGTCGGCCATACCGTTCGAAGTTCCAGCATCCCAATGCTTTGTTTGGCCAGGTCTTGATAATGAATTGACCATTGGTTGTAAAACCTCCCCCTTAGCATCATAATCATTCTAAACATTCAGCTACCATACGGCAAAACAAATACGTTCATCAGTCTTGGCCACAGATGGGGTCTAAAGGCGCCCACAAACAAAGCACTTTGGCACCGCCTGTTTTCAACCCCTATGGAAAGCTGTTAGATGTCGCCCCCGACGTATTGTCCAGTCAAGCTGAGTGATGGTACAGTGACATGCCACATTGTGTGGTGAGCCCAGACTTCTTACATGTCACTGTAATGATCATGGGTCAAATAGGCGCTCACTTTACCGCAGATCGGACATTAAAGAGCTTATTTCGGCGAGCAGCTGGGTGCTTCGGAAGAACGTAGCTATTCTGAGGGTTACAACATTAGCCGATGGGATTAGTCGCGATCTCGGAACCGGAAAGCTGCATGTCTTGGGCGCGCAGAAACACCCAGACTGAAATGTTTCGCTGGTGATATAGGCACGGCATTGATCAGGCACGCAACCGCACCTGCTTACGGCGATTGGCGACGATCGCCGCCCCTTCCTTCAGCTCCGACACTGGGATACATTGAAACCGAGAGTTTGGGTCACATCAAAAAAACCTCTCACTCATCCTTCAACAGGCCTGAATCGAAACTTTTGGATGGACAGAGGGTCTGAGGGCACAGCATGGGGCATTAAGGTACATCATAGAAAGAGCATTGACGCACATCAGGCCACGGGCCGAGAGGTTCGGCTGTTGTCGAGACTGAAACAACACGTGCCGGTTACGTCATTCACTGGGAGGCCATTCCAAGTCGCAGTGGATTTCACCCGCGCATTGGCTGCTTGAGGTACGTACGTAAACGAAGGCGTCAGGGCGCACACGCAATCTGTTACCAGAAAGCAAGGCAACTTTTGGCCGTTCCAGGTCGAGTCGGACCTGAGCTGACGCATTTAAGGTTCTGCTCGCCTCAGCAGAGGCTCTCCTCTTTGCCCTCAAACACCAACAAACTTTCGGCACCCTTTCCATTCAGTACAGTCGACAACTTTCATCCTTTGGCCCACCAAGCATCATCCTCGAAGAACGTCAACTCGAACCGAACACTTCAGACCATCAAAATGGGTGCCATCTCCGCAGTCTTTCTCATCCTCATCACTATCCTCGGTACGTCTCTCCTATGCAACTGACAGCCGCTTAGGCCGGGTATATGCTAACATGGACGTAGTCCCCCTGTCGGCGTCTATGCTGTCGCTGGTTGTGGAATGGGTGAGTTACCGTTGACGATCATACCCCGACTTTGTACGTATGATACATGATACTGACTAGTTACGTAGATCTCCTCGTCAACATCTGCCTGACGATACTGGGGTACATCCCTGGTCACATCCACGCCTTCTACATCGAATACGTCTACTACGATCGCAAGGAACAGGCACGACAGGGCCGCATCATCACTGGACGCGCACCGGGCGTTTACAGCGACAACGTGCAGAGTGGTGGCCACGGTTATGGGACGATTGCTCAGGGCACGGCCTAAACAAAAAGATGAAAGAACCTATTGGTCGGATGGCGAAAGTACGTTAGCTGCTTAATCAAGCGCGATGCGGCCCGGGTACGAGCATACGGCGCGGGAGAGAGACCGATTTCGAGAAGGTCTATGTCATGGTCGGTGTTGTAATGCCGACGTACGACGGCGACCTCTGGTTTTTGGAACAACAGCCATGGATGTACAACGATGAACAGGAATAACAATCGCAGGTGTTACATAAAAAAACTTAACCAACTACGTGAGCGTGCCTGGCTTGCGTGCAGGATAGGCGCCGGATCGGAGTGCCAGCGCATCCGACCTTGTCCCTCGCTGCCAGCTCCTGTTACACTGGAGGTCATTATGCCCGACTTCACGGGCAGAGGGCAACACATGAGTAGGAGTCCACAGCGTCGAAGGATGCAGCCGGAGCCGAAAAGAGCAGGTTGCGTCTCGGCCCTCGAATGAGCGAGGGAGGGGGGGTGGACAACCGCCTCGACAGGGCTAGGCGGTCGGGTTCCATGCGCGCGCGCGGTGATCATTGATTCACTCCGACCCTCTAGATAGGCTGGAACTGCCGTTATCGGATCCACAACGGGCGGGAGGAGGGGATGATGGGATAACGGCAACGCCTTCGGTCGTCATCACTCATATCAACCACTATTTGAAACGATCGTGGGCAATTATATACCTGACGATTATCAACCTGCTCTCAAAGTCGGAGGAAATGCGCCATCTCCATTGCCAGCAGGCTCCACACCGCTCGACGGTTAATTGAAATATTGTCCATGTGAAGGCGACTTTCATCATGGTGGTTAAAAGCCGGCGACCGCAGCCACAGATGTACTGGTGACTGGTCACTTTTGGCTATGGCCCGGGCGCAGAATGGCAGATTATAAACACGAAGAACAGCCCAGTGGGCGGGCGAGTCGGCTGAGTTTGTGAGGGGAACGGGGAACGGGAAGGAGAGCGAACGGCGGGGACAGTGCGGCCATCTCACAGCATCGTCAGTCGATACGGTAGGGCCAGCTGTCGTTGGACGAGAACCAATGGCAGTGACAGGGGGGTTGGCGTTGGACCACCCTTTGAACGGCAGCCACGACACTCGTGCAGCACGCACCTGCTTGTTCGCTGGTGCCGCGTTGCTCTAGCCTGCAATAGGTAGTCGACAGTCCAGCTGCTAGCGCCTCACTACCTCTGCTTCTGCCTCTTAGCCCAGTCTAATCTGCATGTCGCCTGCCTCCTGCCTGTTGCCGCCTTCCCCCGCCCATTGCTACAATCTGATGCGATGCAACTTCACCCCAGACATTGCCCGACTTGCCTTACCGTATTTCCCCCCCCTTCTCCTTTCCTTTTCTTATCAAAGTTTCCTTCCTACCTACCAAGACAAATCTGCAATTGCTGCGGGGAATCAGGACAAGGCCTTTTCCTACGCATCTCGAGGCGATCCGGATTGCTTCTTCTTAAAGAGGTCCACAACCATCACTCACACCTTACACTCGGTCGCCCACTCTTCCTGTGTGTCTCAACCTCCCTAATCTCCACCTCTGCCTCCTGGACCACCCATCGAGGAAGTGGAAGCTCATCCTATCCAGAACGGACGGGACGCACTCCTGCTGAAAACCCTACCTCTGCATATCCTCCTTCGTCCACGAACCACATCCCAGTCTTGAACAGTACTCAACATACAGTCCTGTTCGACACGCGAGAAGCGACACCAACCATGTCTCCGTGCTCGCTGATTTGACTTTTCCTCAGCTCCATCCTGCCGCACGACGCACCAACGCCGGCCTGCCGCTCCTAACTGGTACCCTAGCCAGCCAGCTCATGCTGCCCTCGCTGCATATATATACATATATATAGCCCATTCCACGAGCAACCATTTCCATTGACTATGGATTCAGGGAAGGTCCCTTCTCAGGACCGGTCCGGTTCATCTCAGTCCCGTCATCCAACCATGACTAGTCGCGCTGGAGGCGCTGCTGGTGGTACCCATTTTCCTTTCCCACTCGCCTCCAAAAGAACGACGCGAGATTCATTGACATTCTCATTCCCCCCTCTCTTTCAGCCTGATACATCCTCGACATCACTTGTCCCTTCGACGGCTGAGGGAAAGCCCATACCTCTCGACGGCAGCACTGCGGCACACCGTACATCTGCCCTCCGGGAGCTCAACAGCAACTATCCTTCCCGTCACCGCTACGCCAAGTCGACTGGGGCCCAGAGCAGCACATACTCTCAGCCCGTCATCGTGAGGACGTACTCCGGGTCTCACAGTCGCCCCACGAGTACCAACCGCGGCAACGGTACCAACGGAGGCGGTCTCGGCTCCCGGGCAGCCTTTTCTGTTGTGAGCAGTCCTGCGGCATCTGTACGGCGCATCATAGCTCTTAGGACTCCATTCAGCGGGAGCAAGCCGTCTCAGCATGGCGGCCTAAGCAAAGCGAGAGGAATCGCGAAAAAGCGGCTGGAGGGCCAGGGTGCCCTAGCCAAGCTTCCACCCGTCGAAGCATACAGCTTCAAGAGCATGATGGCCAACATCGAGGCGCAGGAGGGGGAGAACAACATCAACGCTGACCTCGACCGTATTGCTGAGATATGTGCTCGGTCACGGTACTCGTTAAGCAACCAGTATGAGGTTCACGTTGCTCCTCACGGGTCTGGTTCATCTTTTGTAAGCCGCGCCTCATCGTCTAGACGCCAACGCCAAAATGCCGGCCCCACGTTAGAGGCCGTTGTGTCGGACGACGAGCGCAGACATAAGAGGCGCAGCGGTGGTAGGAGAAGAAGTATAGCAATGGGGACACTTGAAACCATCATGTCTTCGAGCCGATCTTCCGAGGAAGACAAGTCGAAGAAGAAGTCGGCCGCAGAGATAACGGCCGAGGTACGGGGCAGGACCGCAAGGAAGTCTTCGGGTAACACATCGCCGACTTCATCGGGCAGTGAAGGCGAGGGGCCGTCAAGCAAAGTCCCGGAGGGCCAGCCTCCGCCGCTTGTGCGGCGGAAGTCATCCTCATTCGCCACGGCCATGCTAGAGAGCACACGCCAGGGCTTTACCGCCAGTATTGCCTCACCGCGGAACTCAGCAACAGGCCTGGTCAGCGAGCCAGCTCTACCGAAGACCTCGACGAGCCATCTCGAAGTCCGAACAGATGCTGAGGAGAACGTGGCCCATCGCCGTGCAGCCAAGGGCTCGGACGAAAGGCCCCGGGCTGACGGTCATGAACCCCAGCACCACGAGGCCTTGGCCCAGCCCGATCAGACGAAGCCACCGGCGGGACTCTTGGCAGGTCTGACCGGTTGGGTGCCGTGGAGACTGCCACCGATTGTGGGACTCGGGTCGGCGTCTGCTCAAGGCGGCGTTTCGAGGAGCCATGCTGAGGGTAGCTTGCGGGAACTGCTTAAGACGGCCGGTTTCAAAAGTAAAGGCAAGGCCGTTGAGGGCCAGTCTTGAGCCTGTTAGGTGACAGTCAAACTTGACAAGATTGGGGATAAGACGCCTTCGTCATGGATTACACACGCAACTTGGTGATATCATTTGGCCTGGACTGCCGAGGTTCGGAAAAGGACAGTACCAAAAAGAAACGTTCGATTTTTAATACCCTATACACTAAGCGGGAAGGCTATACACAAAACAACCAGGAGGCGCAAGATCGAAAACGGGGAATCCGCATCACCGCCTGTAAGCAGTACAAACTCACGAGCTAACGAATAATTTGTTTCACGGCAATTTATGACATATACTGAATGAGAGGGCATGCCCCAGGATGGGCAACGGGACGGACTGGAAACCGGCTGGTATTCTCAGACTAAAACTTCTGCATATATATGGTGTTATTCAATTATTGTGCGGTCTGCTAGTAGTTCCTGGTATTTGTCGCACATGTCCTAGATGTGCTCGATCATCCGGTAGCCAGCTTCAGTTGGCGGTCTCCACGTCTTTGAACCAACTGGTGATATCACGCAGCACCACAAGGAAGTTCTGCCGTCCTCTTAAAGAGCCCCTGTGTCAGCGCCTACCAGAGAGGACGCCCCCCCTCATCCCCCCGCAACTGTTATCACAATTCACGGCGGACGAATAATGGAGCAGGCATCGAAGCAAATCGACCGAGTCGCGTCATCATCATGTTTTGGTGTATTCCTCGCACCCACAAACCCCATAGTCAATGTCTATACCGGGTTGTCATCCACAACAGATGGGGTACAACAATGTTACAGCTATTCCTGCAACCCTCCCCTCTCCTCGAAGACTGTTTGTTTTTCAGGTAACTCACACACCCATTGCCACCGACGCCTCTTCCTTTTTTAAGATTGTCTCTTTTTCTCTCCGCTCCCTCTCGTTTGTTTGCGAATGTTCAATGTCTTCAAAATATGATGAGCTCGCAATCCCTGAGCTCGAAAGTAAAAAGAGACGCCTCGGTTCTCCTCCAGCCCGTAAACCCTTCAAGATTCCCCAACGCCGTGCCAACGCAAACAATGCAAGTGTATAGAAGAGTCGATGCATGTCCCGGTTCGCTCATTGCAGCAGCCCCAATGCAGAACCACGTCAAATATAAGATCTCCCGAGACCAGTCAGCGTCGCCGGATCCACTAGGCCCTCGGACGCTCCGTGGGAACCGTCGGCTTTCCCTCGACGTGGATTCTCTTGGCGTCACCGCGATCATCGTGAGCTTCGGGTTCCCTCTTACGATCTCTGGACCTGCTATCTTTGGCTGACGCGGCTGCGCGCCGCGCTTCTTTCTCCTTGCGCTCGTTCTCGCGTCGCAGCGCCTTGGACTCGAACTCGTGCCAGTCGCCATCCAAGTCGGCAAGCCTGTGCAGTAAGTTAGTTAATGTTCTCATAAAAGGGTTTTGGAAGAGACAACTCACTCTACAGCCTGTCGCGGGGGAGGGTCCTCGGTGGTGAAGTAGTCATCCGCCAGAACCTCTGCAGCCGATGGCCTCTTTGCGGGGTCATAGCGAAACATGGCGGCCAAGAGTCTATAAGCGGCAGCTGGGATCTTGTCCTGGTATTTGGAGGCGAAGGTGCTTGCACGTCGATACCCAGGACGCAACAGCTCGAACCACGGCATGTCGACGAGCCCCGGCCATTCCGCCTTGTTCGGGGTGCCCATCACCGCATAGATCTTATCCAGTTGGTTGATCTCGCTACCATCACCCGGAAAGATGGCATGGCGGGTGAATATCTCAACCATGACGCATGCAGCACTCCAGACATCGCAAGCAGGTCCGTACTGGGTCTCACCAAGTAGCAGCTCCGGCGAGCGATACCAAATTGTGATGACTCGGTTGGTGTAATCCAGCTGATGCCTCTTGGCATAGAAGCGCGCCAGGCCAAAATCCGCCAACTTGAGAATACCATCGCTACTGACAAGGATGTTAGCAGCTTTGATGTCCCGGTGGAGAACGCCCCTCTTATGCAGGTAGTCGAGGCCGTCGAAGAGCTGCATTGCCATGTGTTTTCTCTGGGCCGCATCCAAAGTGAATGACGGGTGGTTCAGGATACCCGTCAGGTCATGAGACAAGTATTCGAAAACCATGAAGCAGTCGTTCCTCTCGACCATGACCTCTTGAAGCTGGACGATGTTGGTGTGTCGAAGCGACTGGAGCAACTTGATCTCTCGAACCGCAGTAACGGGAAACCCATCCCTTTCTCCTTCCATGCGGATGCGCTTCAAAGCTACTAACCCCTTCGTATAAACGTGCAAGGCCTTAAAGACCTTGCCATACGTGCCAGAGCCAACAACAGACTCATTTCCGGGTTTGCGGAAATATACCGAGTCGGACTTGATCAGGTCAGCGGGCAGCTTGGGTCCTGGCTTTAAGCGCTTCATGGTCTTCTTGATCTTTCGTGTTCTGGGAGCAGGCGGCTGCCGCGGGCCTGGAGGGGGATGCCGCGGCTCCTGGCGAGCTCTGGCGGAAGCGGGCTCGGTGGGAGCACCCCGAAGAATGTCTCTGTCAACTTCTCTGTCCCTCTCTCGAACTTTGACCCTTGTTCTCTCTCGCTCCCGATCACGATCGCGGTCGCGATCACGTTCACGGTCCCTCTCTCGCTCCCGTTCCCGTTCCCGGTCACGATCACGGTCACGATCCCCATCCTTGGAGTCACGCTGTTGGGAAGCGTCTCGCTTCGCAGGGACGGCGTTAAACTTTTGCGAGATCTCAGGCTTAGGCGCCGTCGGAGTGGGCTTTGCAGATGCCTTAAACGCAAAGCTGAACTTCGACGACGACGATGTAGACTGAGCAGCCGGACCGGACGGAGGAATCCTGTTTGGATGGGGAGCATTGCTCTCACTAGCCTTGTCGGAGGGTGTTGTGTCCTCAACTTGTAGGTCTTTGGACGGGCGAAAAGGGTTCTCGCCAACGTCTACATTATCGCCAACATCTGATTTGTTGCTCTGAGCGGGGGTGGTCGATTGCTGAGACTTCACATCCTCCGGGTGTCGCGAGCCGGCACTGGAAGTGTTGGAAGTCCACTGGGCAGCACTTTTGAAGCTGTTGCCTCTGTAGCCACCTCGGCCTTGGCCGAACTGGTTTCCTCGAAACGCGGAGCCACCACGGTAGTTGCCGCGAAAACTCCCCTGGGAATATTGCTGCATTGGGCCAGTAGGGGCGGATGGTGGTGGTGAGTATGAGGCGTTTGGCGTGTAGGCACCTGATGGACCCGTCGGAGGACCGTAATTAGGTTGTGGATACTGAGGGGGGTATTGGCTTGATGATGGTTAGCAAGTGCGTGATAACGAAATGATGGAGCGATGAGCGACGTACTGTGTTGGGGAGAATTGCTGAGAACCCCAATTTCCCCGACCAGCACCGTACGGCGACTGGTTCGGGGACGCGTTGTATGAGTTTGGAGTCGGTTGCGGGGATTGAGAGAATTGTCGAGGGTCGCTATACTGCTGGCTGTGAGAAAGTCCAGTTGGTATCTGAGAGGCAAAGCTGCCTCGATGATTTCCCCTGCCGCTCATGCCGACCTCTACGCTATTGGCGCCGGATGAAGGTTGTGACTTTGAAGGGACTCGGGTTTCGTCGTCTTGTGGAACCCGTTTCCCTGATCCCCTACTAAGGGATCGGGAAGAGGCACGGGATCGAGGCGGTTTTTGACGCGGCCGGTCTCTAGAGCTGCGACGCGGTGATGCTAGACGACGATCACCTCTGACGGATGCTGAGGATTTTCTAATGGGGGATCTCTGTCGATGAGGAAGTGGAGATCGACCTCGCCTTCGACCAGGGGATTGCTCGCGACGGTGAGTAGGGGAATAATCACGACGGTCTCGTCTCCTGTCTCTATCAGGTGAGCGAGACCTGCTTCGGTGACTTCGACGAGCCCTCTCCTTGGGTTTCGAGCGGTATTCGCGGCGATCGGGAGTGAGTGTTCTCCGGGGCGGGTGAGGGGAACCTCGAGAACTTCGTCCCGTGTCTCCAAGGGGTGCTGAATCTTTGTGGTCACGACGCGGGCTGGCGTCACGTCTGTCCTTCTTCCCGTCGGCGCCACCCCTGTCGGGACTCCGGCTTCTCGCTTGTTTCGAGGATGGTGATGTAGGACCGTCGCCTCGAGTCGGTCCCCTGCTGTGGTCTCGCTGGTGCTTGGCTCGAGAGTCGTACCGCGAGTCGCCAGCGCCCCTGCCACGAGATCGATCTCGGGAGGCTTCCCTATAATTTTCGCGACGGACAGGCGATGGTGATGCTCGACGAATTCGGTCTCTGCTACGGTCGCGTGGTCTGTGGTGGGTTCGACCAGAAGGCTGTGACTTATCGGGAGGATCGCGCGGTTTGCTATCTAGCAGTCCATCGACTTCCCGAGGTCGGCGGTGGGGAGGCGACGGAGATCTGCGTGAGCGTGTCACTTCTCGACCAGCTCTGCCTCGGTCTCTGCGCTCATCGCCTGGTCTGCGGTCGTCTCTCATGGCGACATGTCGAGGGCGGTTGTAATGGTAGGGCTCCATCGCTACAGCCGATCCGATTTGAGTTTTTAGGTGCAAGCACGTCGCCAGCCGAGGTTTTGCCGATAACGCGACGACTCAGACTAGGTGGTAAGCGTAATATGCAGTTGTCGAGGCATCGAAAGTGGTGCCGGGCGACCCACGCAAAAACAATCCGCGATGACGGAAAAGTAAAACAAAAATGTATCCAGGGAAGTTGTCAGCGCAAGGCTCGCTCTTGAGGGTAGAGCAGGCCAAAGAACGAACAGTTCCGTTGGGTTGTCGTGAGTTTCGAGGAATCAGCGGTAGGCGTGGTGTACATAGTGGCCGGTGCGGCACGCCAAACCACCAAAACCGCCGATTCAGCTAGGCCGTCAGGTTGAGGCCACTCTTCCTCCTGGCAAAGTGGTGCACTTGCAGAACCATACCAACATGTCCCCCTCTGCCTCTTTCCCAGAGAGCGGCTCTCCTCTGCTGTAGCCGGGCCTCGGACAATCTGAAGGCAGATCCTTTCCAAGCTAGGAGTCGCAGCATTAGGCTGCAACAACCTGGCAAACTATCTGTCCTTCTCTCTGCCATTGCTCATGCACCGGGGCATAAGACCCGTGCAACAAGGTCACTATGTACGATTTACGTGCCGGCACCCGCCGATTCCATCTCGATGTCGACCAAAACCACGCTTGATGCATCATGTTGAAAAAAACCCAAGTCTTGGGTATCTGGGCTCAGGCTGTACAGTCATATGCCCAGAGATACAGACCGGTTGAAAGGTTCAACAACAGCAGTACACCCAAAGCTCAATGGCGGTACCGAGTGAAAGATCGAGGCCTCAGTAACAACCAACGGCCCACGCCCGGAAACGAAGATGCCACATGAAAATGGTCATGCTGGTGGTTTTGGCCATGTATCTCGAGTGGCTCCTTCGTCACAGCGAGCGCACTTGCTCGACAAGGAGTACTGTGGCCAATCAGGATTTCGGCGTAGAAACCCCGTGGAAGCCTTTCTCCGGGACCTCTTTGAGCAGAGCAGTCAAAAAACCCAGCACCATAAGTATCGGTAAGGCTCGATTCAACATGTTCCGCCGTTGTGGTTTTCCCAATCATCCCTTGGTTTGACTGTGCAGTCGAAAAGCATCTGAAATGGCTACGATGTAGCCTGTCGTCGATGACTCAACACCGGTATCGTTTCGGATGGGCGTTTGCTATGGGCGGCAGCGAACCTCCATCATGGTTGGCAACGTGGCTTCGCGCAGGGAGCAGAAGGGCGGCAGCAATGCAGAGAAATCTCGCCCTCTTCAAAGATAGCTGAAAAACGCTCCATCCATCCTGTCCATCTGCCGCAGCGAGAGAACGCCCTTTGCGAGCACCAGACCCCGCTGCTTCCGCACATGAAATCCCAGAGCAACCCGGTGGTGCGTATTCCTTCCTTTGCCCAAACGGCCGCCGAGGATGGATTCAAATCATTTTTCGCATGTTACTGTAACCCGATTTGCGCGGTCGCGCGCCGTTACAATATTGTTGAGATCGGTTAGTTGTTGGTGATTCATGTTGCATGTGGTTGATAGACCGTCGTGGGTCGAAAGGGAAAACCTTGACCGAAAAGAGCGCGCATAGTCACGTGACGGCTGATCTTCGGCTTTGGCATCGGTTTGGCCTGTCCTCGTCATGGTGCGCTGAAGCTGCACCGCGTAGTGAACTAAGGACTGATCTAACGAGACTCGGCTACCAGAAGTTGTCGTTGCGTGGCATATAGTTTGTAGGATCACGTTGTTTCGCTATTTGGCCAAGTATTGTCTACCTCATCTGCCACATACTTGATGAAAAATCAGATTGAGGGAGGGTATCACAAAGTTCACCTTCAACCTAAGGCTGCTTGCTAGCTGCGGCCCGTCTTCCATACACAGTCAACAACGAAGAGGCATAGCCAGAGTGTTTGCAGGCGAGACCTCCATCTTACCTTTGTCAACTCTCTCCCCGGGTAAAATTCTAGAATTTGATAGGATGGTCGGCTACCAGGGCAGCCTAGATCGACCTGGAAGGTTTTCTGTCCTAGGTTGGGCCGCAAGATTTGGCTTGGAATTCCAGTCGCGTGCTCATTTCCTGACTGTGGCTCAACGGCGGCCACGGAATGTGGCCCGGGTGAGTTCCGGGGAGACGGGGCCATCGAATAATCATGGGAACTATGGTAGTTGAGGCCACGGAGCGTTGTCAATGACAACCAGGAACGCCGGAGTGACCGCTGTGTGTCTTCGGTAGTAAATCAGCTCTCTGGCTTCACGGGGAGGAGAAATCGGGAAGTGATGCAGTCTCGCCCAGGTAGAGGGTAGTAAGTGAAGCTCGGTTTTGACTTTCGTTGTCCCACCAACGTTGGTCAATATTCTGTCGACATAGAAAAGACTTTGAGTCGTACAACATCGCATGGCCCAATGAGACAAGGAAAAAAAACGATGCCCAAAGATGGGGTTAGCGAGAGCTTGCCTGTAAGGAAGATAGGTCAAGTGGCATGCATGCCCATAAGCGGTACGTCTGGCTTCCCGCTTGCGCGCTCTGGGCAACACTGTGGTAAGGGACACGATAACCAGGAGACTAAAAGGCTTTCATCCTTTAAGTGACATGACACGCTTGGTGGAGACCTGATAGGCTAGGTGGGTAGGGCCTGCAGTAGACCGTTCGTTGGGTGAGGGGTTGTATACTATAGCCTACAGGCTCGAAAACACCATGCGAGAAATCGGACCGACAGGCTGACCCCAGAAACCGAGACTGGGGAAGCTATGCAGAGCAACAAGAGTGGAGGGGGATGCGGAGACAGTCCATCGGGGTCGGGGTCGGTTTTTCTGTTGCTGTTGCGTCCGAACACCTAACCAAACCTAGGTCCAAGGGTGTTCGTTCTGCTGACCCCGACTCATGCTCTCAGAAACTTGTTTGACATCAATGTCAAACTCACTGGGCCAGTACCATGGTGATGGCTCTAATCCGGTAAATGGGTTGGAATCTCACTGGCTGGTGTCCAGACAACAGGTGCCTGGAAAGGTCAGCATGCTCAGTGATGAACAGATCATCGGCTGGCGGGTTCACCCGGACGCATTCGTAGACACTCGTTGGAGGCGAATTTGCGAAAGCCTCGCTATGGCGGTTGTTGTCATTGAATGCATCTGTCTCGGAGGGCAATGCTTGTATGAAAGTAGAAATCCCGCGGGAAAGTATGACATATTTCCAAGGCGGAGGATTGTTCCCTCCAATACCTAGGTATTTGAGACATGCCAAACCAAGACGGCGTGCGTAGATTCATTTGCAAAGCCCAACGAGCTTTACAGAAAGAAGCGCATGGAAAGCGCTGTCGAGATACGCCATCGAGAGTCGATCCAAGGTAGAAAAGGGGCGTCTGCAGCTCAGACGAATTGCCTGCACTGATTGGGTGCTCCGGTGACAAGCGTTCCTCTTTTTTCACGTTTTTTCGTCAAACGTGGCAGAATCTGAGAGTCTGGGGAGTGTCAAACCCCGCAAACATTGTCGTCATTCTGACTAAGTCGGCTTGGAGAAAGCTCCCAAGAGGACCCCACCTCTATCAAAATTGCACGAGGCCTGGCGCCCCTTGGCCACCATTCCTAAGGTACCTAGGAAAGTATCCCTCCCTCCCCCCGGGGTATGTACGGCAAAGGTACCTATCCACCTAGCTACCCACCTCGGGTTGCTCTCGGTTTTCGATCAAGGTCGCAATTCCGATACAGGAGGCAGAAACTGATACTTACCCCTCGAGCTTCTGCATAATGCTGCTTCTGTACACTACAGAGTTTGAACGAGACTGGGATGGAATTGTCTAGGCCTCTTGCAGTGGCAACGGAATAATGCACGTTCAAAGTCGGGTTTCTTAGGATGCATGAGGAGTAGCATTCGGAAAGGAAAGGCAGAAAAGCGGCGAGTCCGCACGAGAAAGACCAGGGATAGTGGGTGAGAAAGAAAGAGAAGAAATCAATTCTCCAAAACAACGCGGAAAATGAGAATGCCCCCAGGGTGAAATACCTAGGTAGTCTAGTGTATGGGAAAAGAATTTGTTGAGACTTCTCGCGGTCTGGACTTGTACCATCCTGGTATTGCACGACCGAAAACGCCCCAAACCGCAGTGTGGATTCCTCGCTAGCGGTAGCTTCCAGGGGGCCCTGTAATATCCGCTGAGCTCCTCACCCGCGCTTTCTCCAGTGTGTCTGTCTCCAGAGCTTTACGAGGAAAGAGGTACCTTACCCGGCCACCCACTTCTCTCCGTCTCTCTCTCTTTTTTTTTTTTTTTTTTGCGATTGAGTGTGGTAGCATCAAAGGTACCTGAGCTCAAGGTACGGAAAAGTAGGTAGGTATGCACGCATGGTAGCTTTCCTGCTAGCGCGGACAGGAATTCTGGGCGGGACGGGGAGAGAGGCTGGATTTCAGACCTTTGCCCGCGCGCTCTCGCCGCTCGCCTCCCAGACTGGTGGTCTGTTACCAGACCTGTGTAGCTAAAACCTACCTTCCCCGCATACAACTTTCTCCTCGCTCGGGAGCTCTCTTCTCTTGTCTACCCTTTTTGTTGTCGTCGTTCCCGTCTGTCTTGACCAAGACATCTCACGCTTCTATTGTTTTAAATCAAAGCCTTGTCCATCCGCAAGCCATATCGAGGGCATCTCCAACCTGCCACGTTCCTCCCTCATATTTCCATCCGCGTCACCTTGGTTACCGGTGAGTGCCTGCCAACCTGTTGTACACCTGCGTCATCCCAGCTCCAATTGAGTCTCTGCTTGCTTCCCTGGCGCGCGCTTCCTGCGTTCCTTTTCTACCCTCAATTCGCCGCCCCGATAGATAGCTGCACTCGCGCTGCCCGTCTTCCTCAGCAACTGACATCGCCGCGATACAGCATCTTCAGACTACCATTTTGCACCATGTCCGACTTCCCACAGGGCCAGCGGGACAACGCCGACCGTCCTGCCCGCGATGTGAAGAATCACTTGCTGTTCGAGATCGCAACCGAGGTTGCCCATCGAGGTAACGACGTCCCCTGCCACCTCCCCCCGCCCCCTGGTTGTCATCTCCGCAGTGGGCTGACCCGTTCTGTGCAGTTGGCGGAATCTACTCAGTCCTCAAGTCCAAGGCGCCTGTGACGACGGCCGAATATGGTGACCGCTACACCCTCATCGGTCCCCTGAACCACAATTCGGTAAGATTGGGACTACTTGGTGCGGCCTTGGCGGTTTACTGACCATACACAGGCCGCAGTCGAGGTTGAGGAGTTGGAGCCCACGAACCCCGAGCTTGCTACTACGATTCAGTCTATGAGAGACCGTGGCATTGGCATTCTCTACGGCCGATGGCTCATTGACGGTGCCCCGCGAGTCTTGCTCTTCGACACCAAGACAGCCTACCACTACATGGATGAGTGGAAGGCGGATCTGTGGAACGTCGCTAGCATTCCCTCGCCGCCCAACGACGACGAGACGAATGAGGCAGTCATTTTTGGATACGTCGTCGCGTGGTTCTTGGGAGAAGTAAGAAGAAGAACAACGAGACTGGCATTGGCAACCAAGCTGACCTTTTGCAGTTTGTCTGTCACGAGAAGAAGAAGGCCGTTATTGCGCATTTCCACGAATGGCTTGCCGGTGTCGCTCTTCCCCTCACCAAAAAGCGTCGTATCGATGTGACGACCATCTTCACCACTCATGCAACCCTGTTGGGAAGATACCTCTGCGCAGGTTCTGTCGACTTCTACAATAACCTGCAGTGGTTCGATGTTGATGCCGAGGCCGGAAAGCGTGGCATCTACCACCGCTACTGCATCGAGCGCGCTGCCGCCCACTCTTGCGATGTCTTCACCACTGTTTCACACATCACCGCCTACGAGAGCGAGCATCTGCTCAAGCGCAAGCCAGACGGTGTTCTCCCCAACGGGCTGAACGTCACCAAGTTTTCTGCGATGCACGAGTTCCAGAACCTGCACCAGCAGGCCAAGGAAAAGATCCACGATTTCGTCCGTGGGCACTTCTACGGCCACTACGACTTTGACCCCGAGAACACTCTCTACTTCTTCACTGCCGGCCGCTACGAGTTCAGGAATAAGGGTGTCGACATGTTTATCGAGTCTCTGGCCCGATTGAACCATCGCCTCAAGTCTGCCGGCAGCAAGATCACCGTCGTCGCCTTCGTCATCATGCCGGCCCAGACCACGTCACTGACAGTCGAGGCTCTCAAGGGCCAGGCCGTCATCAAGTCGCTGCGGGACACTGTCGACGTCATCGAGAAGGGCATTGGACGTCGCATCTTTGAGCGCTCGCTCAAGTGGCACGATGGCGACCCGATGCCCGATGACAAGGAGCTCATTAGCGCCCAGGATCGCGTCCTCATCCGGAGACGGTTGTTCGCGATGAAGCGCCACGGCCTCCCCCCCATTGTTACCCACAACATGCTCAACGATAGCGAGGACCCCGTTCTCAACCAAATCAGGCGCGTCCAGCTCTTCAACCACCCCTCAGACCGCGTCAAGATCGTCTTCCACCCAGAGTTCCTGAACTCGGCCAACCCTGTCTTGCCTCTGGACTACGACGAGTTCGTGCGTGGTACGCATATGGGCATCTTCGCGTCGTACTACGAGCCATGGGGCTACACCCCTGCCGAGTGCACCGTCATGGGCGTCCCTAGCATCACAACCAACTTGTCCGGCTTTGGATGTTACATGGAGGAGCTGATTGAGAATTCGAGCGACTACGGTATCTACATTGTCGACCGCAGGACCAAAGGGGTCGACGACTCGGTCAACCAACTTACGACACACATGTTTGACTTTTGCCAAAAGAGCCGCCGTCAGCGCATCAACCAGCGCAACCGTACTGAGCGCCTCAGCGACCTGTTGGACTGGAAGAGGATGGGCATGGAATACGTCAAGGCTCGCCAGCTGGCGCTAAGACGGGCCTACCCGGGCTCCTTCAGCGGCGAGGAGGAGGAGGAGGACTTCATCCCCGGCGTGGAGCAGAAGATCTCGCGACCCTTCTCGGTGCCCGGATCTCCGCGCGACCGCACTGGCATGATGACCCCCGGCGACTTTGCCAGCTTGCAAGAAGGGAGGGAGGGGCTGAACACGGAGGACTACGTCGCTTGGAAGTTGCCGTGAGTCGAAGAGGTCATTTTTGCGGTGTAACAAAAGCTAACGCGCGTTTGCAGTGAAGAGGAAGACCCCGATGAATACCCCTTCCCGCTTACCCTCCGCGCCAAGCGCCCCTCGGGCCCAGCGAGCCCTCTGGACGGAGTGCAGCTGAACGGCAACTAAGAGCGATGGCCTACCGCCCCGTAGCACACGAAGCGCAAACTGTTGTGGGCCAAGTGTGCCTTAAAAGACAAGCGACAGCAGATGGTGGAACATGTACAAAATGCTATCGGATACTCGCTGGCTATTGCTCCCGGACTACCAGGTCGTCTTCGGTCATGGACCAGTCGCGATTCACAATTTTATATAGGGATATGGATGGATGTAATGGGTTATGGAGAGATTGAGCAAGGCAACCAACGACGAGGGTGGGACTGCATGGGTGAACATGGACATGTACGAGCAGAGTACCTAGCATACTTGAATGAGCATTAGATTGGTTCCCGGACATTCCTCTGTCAAAGGTTCTATATGGTGCATCAATCATGGGACATGAAAATTTGATGCTCTTTTTTTGGTACCGCCGGCGGCAGGGGGCCCCGGGGAGGTTGTTTCGTTTCGAAAAGCAGTAGGATCGGCTTGGCCGCCGAGGACGAAAGTGATGATGTGTGAATCGACGCGTGTTTGTTGCTCGTCTGAAGATCAGGGGGGGTGAGGCCCCCCTGGGATGACGGCAGCGAGGGCGAATCGGGAGCGGTATAGGGCCCTTCCCCCACACTGACGGCCATCCCATTCAGGGGTCCCTTGGATACGTGGATGGATGGGCGCGTCGAGGTGGGGAGCACGCTAAAAGTAAATGGAGAGGGACATTGGGACGCACGGTACTAAGGAGGGACTAAAACCCCCAGCGCGATTCCAACTGCCCAGTGCCTGGTGGCCCTCCATGTCTTTCTTTGTCTGTGTGGCCTCTCGTTGTGTCCTCTTTGTTTGGCAAAGGTTTACTAGGTAGGCATCGTGGACACCAATAAAGGGGTGGGTGAATGATATAGCTGGCCCGGACGGCTATTGTCGATCTGTCTTGTCAACACTTTCATCTGCAGGTTAGGTAAATTAAGAATTTTGCGTCGTCCAAGGGGAATAGGTATGTATCTATCCGTACCTACCTACCTACACTACCTTGCCAGGCCATCCCAGACAGCAACCCGTTGACACCTCGTCCCAAAGTAGAAAGGGCCACTACCTACATGTGCCACTATATCCGTTGGTTTTACTATCTACTAGTAGGTACCTTAGGTAGGTAGACTACGATCACCCCGTACCCCTCGTTCAGCTTGGCGCGAAAAAACGCAGAACAGCGAGCGCGACAGACTGACCACCGCCAGCAAAAGCAAAAACTACTTCGCCCTCACGCTGTCAAACTTTGGTTGGCCGTGGCGTTGGACCTGCAGAAGCCTCCCTCTCGCCCCCAACCCATCCAGACGACGGTGCCGACCGGCCAATGCTACTACACTACACCGGGACCCGTTGATTTAACATACCATCCCCTCCCCCCCCCCCCCCTCCCCTGATATCACGCCCTTGGCAAGTCGTTTGCCCTCCTTCCCCCCTCCTCCTCTCCGCTTCCCCAAGGACATGAAGCTCGCCGTTCGGCCTCTACAGAAGATGGGGTTTTTCCGCAGAGATAAAGACAAGAAGAAGCAGCAGCATCAGCTGGGCCATCAGCAGCAAAAATCTCACGACTTCACCGATCAGCAATTGTCCAAGTACTCGTCCCAGGTCCAGCAGAACTACCGCAACGTCGTCTCGCCGCCTGGCACCCACATCCCTACCCGAGCCTCCGCCGCCCTTTTGCAGAGCCTGCCAAAGAACATTCTCCCTCGCATCTTCTCCTTCGTCTGCCCCCACACACAAGATGAGACGTACGAGACGTGCGAGACGAGCGCCATATTCGACGCTTGCATGCTATGCGACCTGAGAGATCTGGCCCATTGCGCGCGCGTTTGCTGGGGATGGAACAAGGTGGCAAACGCCCTACTGTACGCCACCTCTCATCCCCCCTCCCCCTATGTTGGATTACCCTGACTTTGCTCTCTGCTCTAGGTACCACAGCATCCGCATCGACGCCGTCCACTACTGCCCTCGCGAGATCTACCTGTCGGAGCAGCGCAAGCGCAAGACCTTTTTCAAGCGGAACGCCGACCCTGAAGACACCCCCACCGCTCGCCTGAAGTTGTTGTGCAGGACCTTGCGCGAAGACCCCACGCGCTTCGGTGCCCGGGTTCGCTACTTGAAAGTGCCCTACATGCTCCGTGAAGCCGCCACAGCCGATCTCGCCCGCATCATCCACGTGCTACCGAATCTTGTCTACGTCGACCTGCCCGAAGGTCTGTTCGCAGACGAACACGGATATGCCACGCTGAGGCTCGAGGTCGAGGCTAGATGCCGAGATCTCCGTAAGATGACCTACCAGGCAGGCGCTGAAGGCAGCTTGTCTAAGCTCGCCCACGGCGGAATATGGCAGAACCTCGAGGTCCTCGAACTGATCAAGATCAACATGGACCCGGTCGTTCTGCGACATGCTCTGGCCAACCTGCCGACACTACGCGCTTTGAAGGTGATGGGTTCACAAGCCTTCTCGGATGACATTTTCGCCCACAACGAAGAGCTGCCTCCTTTCCCGCCCCTAGAGGAATTGATCCTCAGCAACACCCCTTCAGTCACCGCCAACGGTTTGGTCGACTACCTGGGCCGCGCCGATACCCGCAACCATCTCCTCGTCCTGTCCCTCCTCAAGACAGGCGTTCACCCCGCGACTCTCGCCGATATTCTGTCTGCGGCTACGAACCTGCAGACGCTTGCCATCGAGGCCTCGGTAAGCGATGCTTTCAAAAGCGGGCCAAGAACGCGGCGGCTCGCGTCAACGTCTCTAGAGTCGCTGCGCTTCGAGATCACCGCGCACAAGTCGGCGGGCCCCTACTCCAGTGTGACGGCTAGTTACTATACATACCTGGCAGCATCGCTCAGGGGCAACGGCATGCCAAACCTAAGGTCGGTTTACGTCCTGGACGAGTACTTCCAAGACGAGCTTGAAGGCCTCCCCCGCCCCGCGGCACCGTTCTCGTACGGTGCCAACGCCCGGCCTGGCTCGTCTCACTCGATGACTTCGCACCGGCCCATGTCGGGCCTGCCCAGTGGTGGACGCGGCGGCCTGGCACCGCCTAGCAGTGCTGGCATGGCGATTCCCCGTCCCTTTGCCGCGACTTCAAACGCTCGTGCCTCGCAGCGCTTCAGCTCTACGAATCCCTTCGCCGGTACAGGCCCGCTGTCTCACCCTCTGACGATCTACACCAAGTCGAACGACGCATTGGACTGGTCGTCGGTGATGATCCAGCCTACGCTACCCAAGGGCGGCGGATCCCACCATCGCGGAAGCATGAGCTTTCACGGCGACCGCCCCATTAGCTCCTACGGCCTTGGCGCTGATATCGCGGGCTCTGGATGGAATACGGCAGCAGCGAGGAAGAGTATCATGGTGGGCAACGGCGCAGGCATGTTTATGGCCATACCGAGCCAGAGCACCGGCGGCAGCAGGGGGAGTGATGAAGACTTGTGGCCCAGACCCAGCACAGCAAACAACGAAAAGAAGTCGGCCGATCTCTGGCGGTAAGCAAGAAAGCCACTATGGAATCCTATGGACGAAGGGCACTGGGAGGTTTGTCCAGGTCATGGACTACTAGAAGAGAGAAGCGAGGGATGAGACGTGATGAACGATGTGAGGCTTGGAAAGGGACGAGAATACCGGATGGTGTGTGGGAGGAGAGAGCACCCACAACAAAAAAAAAGGGAAAAGAAGAAAAAAAAAGGCCAACCAGAATTCACGCCGAGCCCAGTTATTTCTTACTTCTTTTCGGTTTTGGGGGTCTTGTCTGTTCCATGAAGGGGCACACCGGGATAATTGGGATGCCTCATGCTGCCTACGCTTGTATCAACACTATACCCCGACAGCTTTTCTTCTTTTCTTTTGACGGAGTACAGAGGCCGGTTTCAAACAAGACTATTTGCTTCAATCGTGCTCAGATCTTATGCTTGTGATGTCCGCGTGTGCTGAGTATATTCGTGACGCGCGAAAACGTAGGAGACTCGAGGACAACGGCAGCAGGCGGGCCCTGGATGCTTGGCGTTCGTCGGTGAGGTCGATCACGAGAGGGTCTTCCCCCGTTGCACACCAAACGAGTCTCGTGGAAGTCGGGAACCCTTGTGGGCACCAGATGGGTCGTTTCCACGCAATTGTGCTCTCCCCTGTGAGCTGAAGCTTCCTCGACAGCAGACAGCAGACGGAGGACGAGACCGAGCCGACCTTTTGAGCTGCAAGGCAATATCGCAAAACCGGGCATTGAAGAGGAGAGCCCGGCTGGGCTTGCACGAGACCGTGTTCCGCTCTTGTGGTTGGTGGTTAGTAGTCATCGCCTGGAGTTACATAGTGTATCTAAGCTATTAACACCTAGAGCATTATGCCAAGTCAACTGTTAATCTATGTACTTAGCCAGCAGCCAACCTGTGGGCCTAATTGTTATACCATACTAATACTTTTAAAGACATCAACTAGAGATTTCGGTAAGATCCGTCTCACCGTCAATGTGTTATTTATGTAGGTATTAAGAAGTGGACCTTCAGATTACACGCCAACATCTGGCGTTCATAACCTCCGGTTTTCAAAGGATCCTTTGGTGTACTACCATCGGGGTCGATCCAGGGCTGGGGGAAGAGGCAATGTATTTAGCTGCTTCTTAAGTTGGGTTGGGACGGGCATTCCGGGAAGCATAAAGCGCGGAGCAGGGAGACACGGAGTTTCGCTCGTGTTTTTAGGAATGTGGACGTTGACTCGGCTTCGCATCAAGAAGTTAAGAAAGTAAACGAACCCTGGACGAATATTTGCATCTCTCACCGCCGCCGCCAAAATAGGGCTACCATATCTCGTCTCGGTGTCCCGAATACGAACAACGGCCGTCCGTAATAGTTTGGTGGGCTCCATGGAAATTCCCTGAGTCGATCCGATCCGAAAGAACATGTTCCCTAGTCCAGTCTATAGGGAACCTGCCGGCTTGTGTTGAGTGTGAATAGGCGCGTATCAAGCCCGGAAGACGATATGGGTGGATGGATAGCCCGCTTAGCTATCCAGGTAGGAAAGATGTCCCGCACAGACAAGCTACAGCCTCTCGCGGCTCGCTGGCATACGAGAAAATCACGAAGAATATTTTCGTGTTGACGTCGTTGATGTGACCAGTCATTGCCATTCTCGATCCGCTACGTGCTGCTGACGCCGGAGAGTCTACCTGCGGCTCGCCTGGCCTTGTATCGAGCCTCTGGTGCGCGCCGTGACTCGACAGGGCTGCTCATCAGCTAGCGTCCTTGGCTGGGCGTGCCGGGGTCTTGAGTCCATCCGATGGTTATATATTCTAACCCCCAGGCCTCGTGCCTAGAACCTCATTTCGTGTCTACGTAGTTATTAAGTAGCAATGACTCTACTTTGTCTTGTTCCTGGTTGGCGGCAACGCTCATTGCTACAGGCTATTATACAACCGGAGGAGGGTTCGCTTTGAGATTTCTTTCAAGGACCTGATCCCACTCGTCATCCTTTCGAGCGAGCCTCTCGGCAATTTTGAAGTACTCGGCCGGCACGCGCGAGTCGACGTCGTCCTGGGCGAAGAGCTGGATCAGCGCCTGCGCTGTCATGAAGGCCCTTGCCATGCCGTGTCCCGAGTACCCGGCGGCGACCCACTGACCGGCGCAGTCGGGCACGGCGCCGACGTAGGGCAGCTCATCCGGGGTCAGGCCCATGATGCCGGACCAGGCGTAGCACGGCGGTCCGGCGCCGGTCCGGACCGCCATGTGCGTCTCGGAGAACTCTGTCAGGGAGCGGATGATGTCGGGCGTGGTGGTCGAGTCGTCCCAGTCGCCGAGGGGGCGGTGCAACCCCGTGGACGGGCGAGGTCGCGGCCGCCGAAGATGAGGTGCTTGCCGTCCACCTCGCGCTGGATCATGTAGTCAAAGTCTTCACCCCACCGGATGCTTGCGGTATGGCCTAGGGGACAGTCGATGTGAGGCCGGGGCGGCGGCAGAGCGACAACGTTGCCCTTGAGGGAAACAATCTTTGTCGAGGAACCCGGGGAGGAGGTGCGACACGTAGCCGGTTGTCGCGTGGAAGACGTTGGCGCACCAGATGGTCCCCCTCGGGGTGCCAACGCGCCACCGCGGGCTGCCGTCAGCCGCTGGTGCGGCGGGTGTGACGGAGAGGGCGAGCGTATGGGTGAACAACTGCATGCCGCAGGACCTCATGCCGGAAGAGTGCGCCGACTACTTTTTTGGCCGCGCCGTCTGCCCCGACAAGACCGACCTCTCGGCTGGCGGCTCCTCTGGCGGCTCGGGCCCGCTCGTCGCTCTCGGGCGGCAGCCCCCTAGGGATCGGTACCGATGATCCGTGGTATCGGGAACCGATCATCGTGCGCATGCCCTGGGACCAGGCCGGCTATGACGATCTGAAAGCGAGGCCGCTGCCGAGGACCTCGCGTTCAGTATTGTCCCAAGCGGCAGTATCGTCCGTCCGATCTGCGCCACCGTTGGCCGAATGGGTGGTGTTTGGTCTAGATAACGCCAACGGCTATCAGATATGTTGAGTGCGCGCAGCCCTTCCCCCTGGACGCCAGTGTTACATGGCACTGCTTCTTCACTCTATTACGCCGCTCGACCCTCCAAGCTCTGTCAGGTCAGCAGGGGACCGTTGTACCTATGATTCCCACGCTCTTTCGATTAGATTACGGAACACGGCCAGTTCCCAGTGTGAACAGGTGGAGAAGATGGATGAACGGGAGAAGAAACCCCACAATGTTTGGAGAATGGGCAAGCATTTATACATTTCTGTGAGGGGGCACCGATCAGCAACTACTAGAAGTGCATGTCCAAGGAGAGAAGAAAGGCAATGTTTCCCATAAAGAGGCTAACAAGACAACACCGACACACATTGTGGATATATACGGTCAGCTTTCCGGAAGGTGACATGACTGAGAACTAGGTAGGACAAGACCGGACAGCATCGTCCTCCGCCTTGTCGATGGGAGGACTCGCGACGAATGAAGCACGCTCTGGTCCAACAGTCTCACACCTAGTGAAAAGTGCACAGGGCAAGAATACTTCCCGACGGGAAACAACGTCTCGCCCTCCCAACTCGTATCCTTCCGAAGTCAAGGAACATGGGGCGGGTCGGCTCTCGGCTCGGGGCGGGCTAGCAAAGCTCCGGGCTTTGTACACGGCGAAGTTGGAGCGAACGGGACCAGAACAGCCCGCTATGCTGGGGCGCCTTTCTATCGGGCTGCTTGCTCTCCGATTGAGCCTCGAGGAGCAGGGCGGTCTTTGGCATGCCAAACACGAACGCCACCGTGTGTGCTCGCGCGGATCAGAAAGGGGGCAGCACTGACCGTAGGGTTCTACTGCTGTAGACGTAGTGATCTGCAATGCGAAAAGTCCGTTTGATGCAGTGTAGATATCTGATGATGGCCACGTCGGACAACTCGCCGCCGGCAACCCGGCGAGCGGTCTCACGTCGCCATGCCCTATTTGCGCGTGCGTACACGCGTGTAGATAGTCTTCAAGCGTCGCTCAAGCCTAACTCGCGCACTTGAAGACTACTATATGATTTAGCACTAACACGAGGTAAATTGAATATGCCCAGATATAAGGATACACTTTGTACTATTAACCAACCCCGCGCTTAATAGATATTTACTGCCAAGACTCTTGTTCAGCGAGAACCCTTAAAAATAACGTTCTATTTAGCTGCTTCAAAGACAAGCCGCTTGCCGTAAGTCCTCTGGAACTACTCTCTCGAGTTGAAACGCTAACTGCCCTAGAACGAAGTGTCTGCTGCCAGCTATTTCCAGTGGGACAGAGGGGCTCTTTCAATACAACTAGAGCCAACTGAGACTAAGAGCTGAGCTCAAGCAGACGCTTACAGAAGTACGCTTCGCATTTGACTCATGGATTCGCCCAACATCTAAATCTCTATGGGAGACACCAAGAGCTTCTTGCATGCGTGCCAAAGGAAGAAGAAGAAAAAAGAGAGACTGATCTCGCTTCCTCTGGCCCCTCCCCAGTAGCATGGACGGCATACTGACACCCACCAGGCAGAGGCGCTACCCGCGATTACCAGGCTCTACGGAATCAAAGAGAACCACCGAGCATCTGTCTCAGATGATGCGGACAACAACGAACAATGCTGTTGGAGTTGATTAACCAACAGACAGGGTCTTTCTCGTGACCGGGTCAGGGCTGTCTCAAGCCTCGGGGTCGATATGCCGGTCTCCGCCCCCCCCGTCTCTTGTATGACCGAGACCCCCAATCAGACGGTGAGACGTCTCACTGGCGTGATTCCAGAAACATCACACCCACGGGGAGGGAAAAAAAGAATTGGTTGATCCAAGATGTGTTTCTCTTCCCGAGATATGTTTCTCTTCCCGTTGCTTCCCGCAACGTGTTGCGGCATGTCCAATATTGGCCGTGGCGGTGAGACACAGCCAGGAACGAGCCGCGACATGGCGCCTCACACCGGAGGGCACTTGTACACGGCATCCGGTTCCGACGGCCAGACATGTTGCACCTTCGGAAGCACAAGGGAAGATAGAAGCCCCCCCCCCAGCGACGGCACCTACCGAGAAGCCATGGAGGACGCTCGGCATCCCAAACCTGTGAACCAGGAACAGGCGCTTCGCGTGATCCCGATATTGCGTCAGTACCACCCCTTCCGATAAGCGAGCCATGATCCCCTCCATCTCAGGTCCCCTCATGGATGCGGCTTGTGTACAAGAGAAGAAGAAAAAAAAGAGAGAGAGAGATACATCAAGACAATGTATGGTGTACTGTGTGACCTCATCCTGTGCGACGAAACCGGCCCCCTCCCGCAACTGCATCTTGCGCGATGACGCCCTGCAGGCAGGGACTCTTTCGCCCGCGTTTTCGTGGGCTGATTGCTTACATCAAGTCTTGCATTTTCCGCACGCGTTCCCCGCCACTGCAGGGAACAAGGAGGGACGGAGAGAGGGATTCAGCTTTGGGTACCAGTAACACGTTGTCCCGCGCCGCGAATCTGTCGACCTTAGCACTGCAACTGCTCAACCTCGAGGATGAAAAAAAAAAAAAAAAAGCAGGACAGAGAGAGAGTTCCATGTCGTCAGCTCCTTGCCCCCCCCCCTGTCGGACCCTGCAGTTCGGCCTGGCGCGAGCTTGGGTTCGTCGAGGGCCGAATGCCAAGGACCAGGCGACGAGGCGCCTGGCAAGATGAGAAAAGTTGGCAGCCGATGATGTATCCTCTGGAATCACTCCTCTTCCACTTCGTCAGGATGATTGGAGGCGATGCACGAACGTTCCAGAACTTGGTCCCAAGCAGAAACCCACGACGGGCAGACGTTGCTTGCGGGCATGCGAGAGGTGGGATGTGATGTGATGGAAGGGAAGGGGGGGGGGGTGGCCGAGATAAGCGACGTCACGATGCAGTTCGCGCCTAAACTGCAGTATGCACATCCTGTTTTGTCTGTTGAGCGGTTGCCGCGCGTCTTGAAAGCATGGCCAAACGTCAAGGTCTAATTGTCTTGTCTCTCTCTTGAACATAGACCACCAAAGGCCGAATGTGCGGGCATCCCAACAGATGCAGCAGAAGAACGAGTGACTAGGGGGTCTTTGGAGGTCAGAAAACCCAAAACCTCGATAAAGCCTGACCGACGTCCAGCAAACTCAGGCGTGAGGTGACGTCGTGCCACGGGTTGGTTGTCGGTGGTTGGTAGTTGGCGGTTGGGCTGGATGCAGAAGTGTGTGGGGGGGGGGGGGGGGGGGTGTTGCAGGGGTGATGTCATGTCGCAGGGGTTTCCCCTAATGTCACGTGTTTCCTGAGATACAGTTTTCCATCTGTAAAAAAACCACCTACGGTACGGGTACGGTACATGTTGCTTACATACACACGCATACACATGTATGGGGTTTGCAGTTTGTTATGTGGAGACGGCTGCAACACGGCGACCCGGACACGGTGCACTGCCGGAACCACTACATACACTACACGGACGCGGGGAAGGGGGCGCGGGTCGATGCGGAGGCGGAGACGGGCCACCCGGGGGGGCCACTTGGATCGGGAGGCAACGCTCTCCCCCTTCCCCTCCCCACTCTTCGGTCTCATCATTGCTGCCATCATACAACCCGGCACACTATACATATGTAGTACTGGGTGGGAGGGTGGACTGGGTTCGAAAAAGGTCGCCGTTTCATACCTGGAGAAACGGAGTCGATATTCGTTTCGGGCCTCCCGCCATGCCATTGCGCACACAATGCATGACGACCCAAAATGCCGCCCTGGACTGTTGGCAGCAGCGGCGCAGTGCGGGACCGACGAGACGAGTGCAACCCCCCCCCAACGTAGGATTCCATCCGGTTGAGCTCGTTTCGCTCCGTTTCAGATCGCGGGCGAATGCCCCTCTCCCTCAATGCTGCGAGGTCGACCTAGCCGTCGCAGCGACGTGGGATAGGATAGGTCGAACCGTCAGCCATGTCCGCTTTGCTGCTGACGAACGACGAGGTACATGTTCCGGACAGTGCAGGAAGACGCTGTACTCTCCCCGTATGCACACAGGGTCCCGAGAGGCTGGCAATGGCGCAGTTGCCTGTCAGCACCGCATGCTCGTCAGTATCATATCCCTTTTTGGTCAGCTATCCGAACAAGAGCAAGTTATGAGCCACAATCAGCTGAGGCCTTGAAACGGACTCCCCGGGAGGGAGCCTCCAAGAGTTGACATCGCCTACCACACGGCTTGCGGTAAGAGCATCTCATCTCATTGTCGGCTGACGACGCTTGCTCGTCAATATCTTTGCCTCTTTGCAAGGGGAGGGGGTGAGACTCACTCGCCATGTCCAGCTCTCGTTATCCAATACCCATAAGCGCATAGCGTAGTGGGTCTCTGGCAGGGTCGGTCTGGGTGCGCTCCTGCGCGGCTTAGGTAGACAAGACTAAGCTCGTACCTGAAAGATCATCTTGGACTGTGACGCTCGATCGGCCAGCTATGCAAGAATAGCATAGCATTGGCAGCTGGGAGACGAAACTGGGAAAAAGGAAAACAGTCGAGCCTCTCTGGGCAAGACGGTAGCCGGCCTCGGGACGCCCGCGTAGGGCATTGATAGGGATTGGGAACCTGCATAGCCCCTCCCGATTGTGGCTCTCCTCAGCCCCAGCGAGCACATGGCGCGTCTAATGTCAGCATGCAGAAGGGAAGACGACGTTGGGGAGGGCCAATCGATCAGGGTTCGAGTAGCCTTCTGTTTCGTTTCTCCGCGCGTCAGATGCAGAGCCACTCTAGCCGCAGACATCGGCCTGGCGCCATCTCAAATCGGTGAGGGTGGGGAGGTGAGGACTCGAAGTACGGGCCCCGCACCACCCGGCGCCGAAGCAGGGTCCGCGTTGAATCTATAATCGCCCGGTGACCTGCCGGGTGAGAGAAGACTCTGGCGATCGCGCATGCACTCCAAGCACCCGGGTGAGAAGGGAGTTCGCGGATCAGTTTCACGCTGTGGCCTTGTCAGCTACCATCGGCGACGCCTCTGTGCAAGCCCGGGCGCCTTGAAACGGTACATCACGTAGCGGACGCGCAAGTCGTGATGCTATCGCGTAGCGCTTGCGTTGTCCCCGTCCAATGACCATGACGGCTCGGCCGGCGGCAAGGCAGATGAGACAGCGAGCAACATAAGGCTGGCCTGGAAGAAGCAGCATCCGTTACCCGCTGGGGAAAGAGTAAGTCATGATTGGGTTGTCGCATTCCGATAATTCGTTCACGATCCCCCTCCCCCCCGGTCCCCCTGGCCTCAGGGGTAAACGTTGCGGGACGTGTGTCATTGTTCGAATCCCGCGGTGATCACACAAAGCCTAACACGGCGATAGGGTTTCGAGGAGTAGTATCCGTAGACAGACCCGACTGCCGATTATTGACAGCTTCATCGACAGCCGCACGTGTCGGATCATGGCACCCTCCCCCTCCCCTTTCCCTTTCACCCCCAACGATACCGTGCGAATCGTTGGACGCACCATGAGATGGGATGGGATGGGGCGGGGCCAAGACGCGCCCGCGCCGATCATCGGGTGTGATTGCTGCTGTACCTATGTAAGCCAGCCCACGTCCATGACCGCCCACCTCGCAATTACCACCTCCCACGCGGCGCCGCGAGCGCTGCCGTCCGGCACGGGTTGGAGAAGAAAGCATTTGCTGCTCGGAGCGCCGTGGTGTCTACTGCCGGCACGTGAAACAATCCACAGAGGCCACTCTTCTGCTCCCTTGGAGAGAGGGAAAAGACAAAAAAAGAATAAAGGAGGGGCTCCCTCCATGTGGATTAGCATCATCTCGCATAGCCGTTGGCGTGGTGGCACTTCTGTGGCTGGAATTAATTTTTCGAGGCTGCCGCGATGGAGTCGACCGAGTGGCGCCCGTCGGGAAACGTTGAATTGCATCAGGCGGCAGAAGGTGCTCCGTGACCCTCCCCCCTCCGAGCAAAAAAGCGACTGTGGGGACGGCAGACCAGGATGGATGGGCGGGCCAGCTTATCTTGGCCGCGACATGCCCACTACCGTACTCGAGAGCCACTTGCAAGGGAGTCGGGGGGGGATGAGACTGTAAGGCGGGTATCGTCGCGAGAGACAGTTGGGCCGAGAGTCGCGACCGTTAGAGGCGGTTGAAAGGAACGGAAGGAAACGAGGGTTCGCAAGCAAGGGACAGGGGGAAATGGCACGTTGTTGATTGTTAAGAAAGACCGACGACAAACGAAAACTCCGAGTCGACAAATGCTGGAAGTTTCCCCCCGGGGGCTAACTAAGGAAAGGGAGAGAGAGAAGGAGAGAGAAGGAGGGAGACGAGAAGCACGCATCTATCCGTGGTGCCGGATTTCATCGCATCTTCCAAAGCACACCCCCCACTGAGTGATTCCATGTCAAATTTGCCGTCTGCCGGTATCAGGCTGGTCTGAACTAGGACAGGAGGCTGACGGCACATGGGCTGATTGACTCCTTTTCTCCTCGTAGTAGTATGTACTGACGTCTAGGTGGATGGATGCTGCTGGCCCCGTTGCCGCCGCCAAGCACCAGCGATGGGCCTTGCATGTCGTATCGCCATACAGGTAGCAGAGTGCTTTGTGGGGGAGTTTTTATTTCGTTTTTTTATTTTATTTCAATCAATGCTGCGGCAAACACACACGAGCGTTGCCATCCATCTTGTAGGACTCCGCCCCCCCTCTCATACACTGTGCGATGCTTCTCCGGACAGAGACGGAGTACCGTACGGGGCGTGGGTTACCTGGCTCCGATCATTGTCCGGAAACCGTCGCGTCACCAGCCATGCTCTGTGCCTGCAGGCGTCCCGAAACAAATCGCCATGCGGTGGCAGGGTATTGCTTTGGCGAAATGAAGCACGCAAGCCGTCAGGAGTGTCTGGGCCAGGGCCCTGCAAAAAAACGCTGATAAGGTTGTCTCGTCCCTACGCAGTTGAGTACGGAGTAGGTATTGGCTTTTTGGGTTTGTGTGCGCTTCCGCAGTCCCCAGCTTTAAATCGACACCTCACGTCCAGTGACGGCCGCAGACACAGACTCTCTCTCTGGAACCGCTGAGCGAATGGCACCCTCCCCCCCGGTCTCGACGTTGTCTGTCGCAGCACACACATCGGACGAACGGCAGGGGGGTGCTGCCCGTTCTCGCGGCCGTGACTGGCCCAAAGATCTTTGGAACCAGGCAAGCCTGCGACGCGCTTCGAGTTTGACCATGTTTCTCGGACGGGCATGGCGGCTGCAGGGAGTCAAGAAACATCCCTTCTATCGCGTGCCGTCGCTGCAAGGGCGAGGTTTGCAGTCTACGAGAAAAAACGTTTATCGGACGGCCCTGCACGCTCACTCTGCTGCTGCTGCTGCTGCTGCTGCTGCTGCGGACGCATCTCTTATCGTCAGGGTGGAATCGACACTCCAACTGCGGATCGAACCGGGGTTGAACGGGAGTGTTGTCATGTCCGGATGGAGACACGGTTCAAATGTCGGTCTGGGACTCGTTCAAGGGGATGAAGAAAAATCTGCATCTGGCAGATACGGCGGAGCGAAGACAATGGAATCTGCCCGGCAGAGCACCTCGTCTAGGCGACGTGATTCGTGCGTCCCGTAGGGCCTCTGCCGACCCGACATATTGTCACTTTTGGCGATGCAACGCTCCGTGCCTCGCACCCGTCCACTGACATGTCGACATGCTCGTCGTTCATCCTGTGAGACATATAGGGGTAGGGGGGGGATATGGCTGTGTCTTTCTTCTCGCACTTGCATCGCCATCGCTGCACGGCACACAGGAAATACCGGGGCCAGGAATTCGTTCGGTTGCGCATGTCACGGCGGCGGCGGCGGCGGCTTCGAAGGCGCGATGAAGCTCTCCTCCAAGACTTCTCCCCCCCCCCTTTTCCCACCGGCTTCATGCCGTTTCGGGGGCCACGTGAGGGACGGTTGGACTGGATGGACCGCACGTATCTACATCGTAATTGCCGCTCTATATTGGCTTTCCGGCGCCATTCCCAGAAGAGAGGGATACCGGCGAGGCATTGCGGAATAGCGCCCACCCGGCGGCCCCTTGATGTTATCAAACTGATTGATCTTGGTTGCGCCCGATAGGCTTGTGTAGCCGGTGTCGTCTCGTCCCTCCCTTCATTTCAGATCGGGTTGGATCGTTATCCCCCAGGACGCTCAGTGTGCCCGGCGACCATGGCCCTGGGCGGTTAGACCAGGCACGCTCGGCTGTTCGGACCACCAGTTCGCACTGCTTCTTTCTCTCTTTTTTCTCTTTTTCTTTTCTGGCACACAGGCACACATGGTGTACATGCATTCACCATACGTACAAGAAGTATCGCGGACTGCGAAGCGCAGGAGGGGGCTACTTTTTCCATGCTTCTCCACGGTGGCTCGCACCCTGCAGTTGGAGAGAGCGAGCCTGGGGCCAAGCCATGTTCCGCCATGAGACCGAAACATCGGGTCTCGTTTCTTTCCCTCAATCGTAGCCGCTCGTGGCCGGGACTGCATTTGCTCTCTCCCTTTGGGTTCCAGCGGGAGGAGGACCATCCGTCGGGTCGCATGAGAGTCACGCTGGATATTTCCATGCGGGTGGGAAGAAGGTGCGCCCCTCCCTAATTCAGACAGGACGAAGAAGCGTTAGGCTCCGACGGCCGTTTCTGGTGGACCGATACAGGGCGGCTGGTGATGGCGGCGGCGGCGGCGGCACCACCACGACATGACGGCAAATGAGCATCGAGCACAATTAGCCATCTCGAGGCCACATACCAGGAACGAGAGGTACCTTTCCAGTCACGCAGGGAGTAGGTAGAGGAGGTTGTGGTGGTGGTGGTGGACGGAGAAATACACGCACATACATACACTTGCGTTCGCGTCCACCACCCCCAGGCTTGGTCAGCGCTTCTTCTCGGTCATCGAATCACGACGAAATGTCGTCCTTTTTGGACGGCAAAGCCAACCCCTGCCACCGCCTCGTCTGGTGGCGTAGAGTTTGCTGGTGGTGAGGCCGGCCGTGTGTGGGTGTGACCAGCCATCCCCGGTCGCCTGTGAGCGACAACATGTGTGGGGTCATTTGCCGGCGGGATAGGTCGACAAGCAAGCAAGCAAGCAAGCAAGCAAACAGGGAAAGAGAACGAGGCTCACGGATTGGAAGTGAATTGCCGACAAACGACACTGGACAAGCCTTCCCACCCCTTCGTTCCTCGATCCAATCCACGGTGACGACAAGAGAGACTATGGCGAGGGCCATGGTGCGCCCTGTTCGCTTTAGTCTCTCGCGTCAGTCTGGGAAGGTCGGCTAGACATGCAGTGTACCAAAAACGCCATCCATCACTCATGGAGCTGATGGGTTAGTTGATAGAGGCATTGGTCCGAGGTAGATAGGCGTCGTCGATTGGTATCTTTTAGATGAAACAGCACATATGAGAGGAGAGGAGGAGTAGGAGGTGGTGGTGGGAAGATCGCAGGCTGATAGGATATAGCATGCATGGTCGATGTGGCCAAGGCTGTGGAAAGTGCCGCTCTGGCCTAGAGGCCGGGGTTAGTACAATTAGGTAGGTACTATGTTAGGATGGGGTTACCTTGCCTACCTACTAGGTGGTAGCCTTAGGTAGGGTAGGTAGGTTTAATAGGTTAGATTCCCGCCGCGTACTTTGGTACTGGGACAGGACAGGACAGGACAGGACTGGACTGGAAGGCGTCTTGGGCGCCTCCATCGTGGGGTGTGTGGTAGGAGACGACATTGTCCGCTCGACCGCTTTGAGAGAGAGACGACCTCAGTGTTCTATTTCATGTTGTACACCCCCCGAACCACCACAACGGATAGAGTAAGGCCTTGGGGGCGAGACCGGCAGAAAGAAAGAAAGAGAGAGAGAGAGGATGTGGAGAGTCACAGACTCAAAGCCAAACAGTTTGTTTGATGGACTGGTTGGCTGGCTGGCTGGCTGGCTGACATGGTCTAGATACTTTGTAGGTAAGAGAGAGAGAGAGAGAGAGAGAGAGAGAGAGAGAGAGACGGGGAGGAAGGATGAAAGAAAGCCTCAAGGAGGACAAGTACGTACCTCATCTTCCCAAGCGAACAGGAGGAGGGAGGAGCGACAGGGACTAGTGGGGACTTGAGCCCAGCCCCTGCCTCCAGCATCTTGTCTACCGTGTCAATTGAAAAGAGCCAACACTGGGTCCCCGTACCAAAGTGGATCCTCTCAGGGTGAGGACCTGACGAGGATCGAGACTAGGGGAAAGTGGCATGGACCAGGTGCAGAGTACAGAGTGCAGGAGCAGGAGGAGCAAGAGCAGGAGCAGGAGCAGCTCGTGCTGTGGCTGTTCCACTTTGTCCATCTGCTCTGCTCTGCTCTCTCTATTCCTATTCCGTACCTACCTACATCCCTACCCTACTCTCTACGGATACCTACTAGGTATTAGGTATCTGTATCTGTATGCCATCTCTCTCTCTCTCTCTTTCTCTCTCTCTCTCACTCTCACCTCACACCCACACACTACCGTTCCCAAACTCACCCCTCCCCCCTTGCAATGTGACCCGGGCTACCTATTTGCACATATGGAGCCCCCCCCCCCCAAAACCCCCATTCTATCCTGTACCCCCCGTCCCTTTATGTTCTACCACCTCCCGAACCGACATATCCTAACCTGTCCCCCCGACCCGTTTATGACCCAGACCGACTCGTCCATTAAAATATCTTGCATGCCCTCCTACCTCAAACACCTCTAGGTGCTCTTGCTCTTGCTCCCTCTCTTCATCATCCCTCCGAATAGCTTGGTGTTTTGTCCGAGTCAACAAGCCTGGACACTTACACATATATACATACACACAGACAAACACGCTCAATCACTCACTCAACTCACACATACTCACACCATACAACGAACTATACCGCCAACCAACTGACTGCCCCCCAGCGGCTACTGTTCGCTGTAGACCGGCTACCCTACGCGACTGAAACCTCCCAGTCTTAGATTTCCCCGAGGGAGATCACGAATGCCGTCACCGCCCGCCATGTCTCTGGCTGCTCAGTCTATGCCCGTCAGGGAACCCTCACATTCCAACACCCGCCAGGACGGTGTCACCTCCCAGCAATCGCAGAGGACCTCTTATAGAGATTCGCTTCCCAACGCCCCGCGCCCGCCCGTATACAATGACGAGACCTTCAACGAGAACGAGACGGAAAAGATGTACGGCGACTACTACGCCGAAATGACGGGCCCTTCCCCCAAGAAGAAGCAGCCCCCGCAACAGAACCCACCCGCCCTACCAGCCAAGAGCTCCTTGAGGGCTTCCAGGCTCCTCGAAAGCATGGCTCTCAAGATCATCACCAACCAACCCGCACAGTCTGCCCCCCAAGACATCTACCTCTCCTCCGAGGAGGAGGCTTCCTCTTCCGCCGACGAGTTTTCCGACTACGACTACGAGTCGGAGAGCGCAGAGTCGGCCGACTCGCCCATTCGCAAGAGCCACGAGGACACGGCACGCGTCGTGTCTGTCATCTATTCCGGAAAGCCTTCCATTATCGACCTCCCCTCCACCAGAAGATCGCCAACCCCCGAGTCGGTCGATTCCCGTTCCCTGAGCCGCCTGGCCATCCCAACAGAACCCGCGCTGCGAAGGATGTCGACATCGCCCGCCACCGGAGCCCCCTACTCTCCCGTCAACCACCCGCCTAGGTCCAGCAGCATGATGATCACCGCCAGCATGTTTCCCAAGGAGAGGCCTGCCTTCCTCAATGTCGACCCCTACGCCAGCAAGCCCCTCGACGAGCGGGTGGGGGAGCGTCAGTTGGACGCTGAGCGGCCCGAGAGGCCCAAGACCCCCACCTCGCAGCTCTTCAAGAGGACACTGAGCATCGTCCGGAAGCGCAGTCGCCCCCAGCTTAGAGACCTGCCCGCCAACAACTCTTCGCGGGACCAACTGTCACTGCCCGCCGACGCGACGGACGCTAGGGAAGAGGCGCCGGAGAAGGTTCCCAGCAGCCCCTGGCCCTCTGTCAGCTACCACGATATCATGCGCGCAGCCAAGAAGAACGCGCAGAACCAGCCCCCAACCCCATCCACTCCTACCGTGGTATCGCCCAGCTCGCCTGCGGGCAATACGAGGAGTCGGATCCTCAGCGGGTTCGCCAACAAGAGGAAGAGTATGAGAATGGGCTAGTCGCCTCGCACCGACCAGACAAGAAAAGAACAAGAACAAAACAGCAACAAAAAACAAGAGACTGGGCCGACACACGGCGGCGGCACTCTGGGCTTGAAACACACATTTGCATCCGGATTGGGGATTTGCTTTACATGCATGGCGCATCAACGGGGACCGGAACTGGATCACGGCGTCTCACACGGACTCTCGGTCACGGGGCAGCGATGACTGCAACACTCCTTTACCCTTTTTTCTCTCCCTCTTTTTTTTGATTTTATTTTTAACCGCTCTCCCCCACGCCATGTTCCTTCTTTTTGGCCACCGTGGGTATGGGTTTAACGACGTAACGAATTTCTTTGAAGTGTGTTGACGGACGGAGTAATGGGCAAGGGCGGATGAGGACGAAAGCAGACAAGAGTAGGGCCAGACTCGATTGATTGGCATGTACCAAAAAAAGGCACGGCGGCGCTCTTGGAGAACACAGCCGATCCGGCCCCCGCAAGACATTTTTGGGGGCGCAGGCTGCCTAGTTAGAGACATCAAACCAATGATACCAATAAGTTCTTTTTCGTTCACACACAAGCTTCTCCGGAATCGTTACCCCGCTCTCGTGATGTGCATGTTTGTTTCATTGAATTGGCTTGTGGGCATTGTTCGCCGGCGATGGGTTCCTTACCCTGCCCGCCGCCCCCCTTTCTCCCATCCCCAGTTTGCCCTGGATTCGGACCTTGCATGAGGACGGCGTGTGGCGAGCAACATCTTTGCCGGGACGCCATTGTACAATTGTCGTAATTTTCCATTATTTCTCCATTGGGGGCTCTTTTTTTTCTTTCTTTTTTGCGTTTATCTTCACCCATCGACGATCGATCGACGCTGGAGGAGAAGAGGGCGGCGGGTGTGCATTTACAAACTCTCCCTTTGCAGAATTGCAAGGCGCGAACCCAACCCTCGTCGCGCTGCAGGCTGGTCCCTGCGCGCAACCAAGCTGTGATGCTAAATCCGGGCTTGAATCTGGGCTGGCGGTCAGTGTTGTGTGACACACTGTATGTTATAATATGTGTGTGCATGTATAGGTATAAGTAGGTATAATACGCGTGTGCCTTGATTCAACCACGGGCCCCACCGTCCATCCATCCGCCTTATCTAGGTAGGCACTAAAGTGTAGAGTGTCTGACAAAGAGTGCGGCTGCTGTCCGAGGAGCAGTCATGCCGTACATATCGAGAGTCATTCGGCCGCATTGCAGCTCTTCCCAAAACCGGCTCCGTCGTTCGTTCATCATGGACAGGATCTCGCGCTCCCCCGCCCCTCCCCGATTATCCCTTTGGGGGCAGCAGGACTGGACAGGCGGTTGAAGTTGGACCGGGGTGTCGGTTCTAAAATAGCCACGTCGCGAGGCTGTTCCTATCACGGTATGTACCTTTTTTTTTTCTTTTTTTCTTCTTCCCTCCCTCTTCTTTCGGAAAGTGGGTCCCCATCCTCACCAATGGGGGAGGGGGTTTCTTCTTAGCCAAGATGGAACCGGGGGGCGGGAACTGCCATCCCATGCGCCGGCCAATCTTGGCTCTCTGTGGGTGCAAGAGATGCTGCTGTCTGTCTGTACTTTGTGTAAGATGACGGGCCCGTATTAGGTAGCGCAGCGCTCGAGATCATCCAGGCCGCGCAGCCGCGGCGTTTCTTTGCGAGGGCTGAAGGGGCGGTGCTAGGCGGAGGAGGCAAAGGAAAGGTAAAGAAAAGACATGGGAAAAAAAAAAGGGTTGACGGGATCGGATTGGTCTGTACGGGGGTTAGGTTTCCTTGGATCTGGTCATCGGATATGGGGGGAAAAAAAGACACAAAAAAAAACACGTCGTCGTCGTCGTCGTCGTCGTCCGCGTCCGCCTCGCGCAAAGGAAAAACGACCCCCCCCCCCCCCCCCACAACCCACCGAATGAATGGATGGCTTTCTCACTGCCGCTATCCGCGTGAGGCGCTGCCTACTATCCGCTTTGCTGCAGCTTTCGCTTCACCCTCGCTTTACCCTCGCTTCACCCCCCCCACCTAAATGCATGCGACTCTTGCTGAAGATTTTTTTCCTTTCTTTTATCTTCACCAAGCAAGTCTTGGTTTTTTGTCTGACTTATCTCCCCCCCCCATCTGAGTCTTGTCTCTCAACGACATCATTACCATCCCCCCCGCACTTACCCTCACGCACGTTCCAATAAAGGGCTTGTGGTCCATGGCAAGGGAACGCAGCGCTGCGATCCCCTTGCAGACAGTTCTCCGATCACGCGGGCAAGAGAGGTGGTCAGGGTGTAGGCATACATGTACGCGATGTGTGATGTGTTGAGGTTTTGCGCGGTCTGCATGCGCGAGCCAACCAAGGGCGGGAAACCTGCCTCGTGGTGGTTGGGTGGTTTTGCTGGCCGGTCGAGTTGTGGGGGGGTGGTGACGGGCGGTCCGAGGACCGGACAGGTGTAGTCCGGGGTCGACAGGCCTGGCCATTCGTCCTTTGGTCGTTCGCAAGGGAGCGAAGATGACGAAGAAGAAGGACTCCCTTCCGATGAACGGGTTGCAGAGAAGCAAGGAGCACGATCCGGCGATAGTTCTTGAATTCTTGATTCTGCATCATCCATCCATCCATCCAGCCAGCCAGCCAGCCAGTCAGGCATCCGGCCTTTCGTCGATACCCACACCGCTACGGGCCCATCTTCAGCTCAAGCTTGCTTGTCTACGGGTCCGCCCTGCGTCCGATGGGAATGTCCGTATATGCGTGTTAAGCGTGTGCGCAGCATGGGAGGGAAGGTGCACGACCACGGTGCGAAGCTTGTGTACATGGGCCAACGGGAGGGTATTTTTAGTGCGCGCGTGCGTGCGCGTGTGTGGCTGAACTGTCAATCGGCCGTGCGATGCGATGCGATGCGATGCGATGCAACGAGTCAACGGACGACCTGCCACCTCTCACAGACAGCATACGTACTGTATGTAGTATGGCTCGAGAGAGGCAAGCAATGCACATCAAACGCGTCGGTGGCAGGGGTTTGCATGCTGTGTTCTTCTTGTGCTCTCCTTCCAGCCACGAGCTCTGGAGAGCTTACTTATCCAAGTCCAATATCGAACAAGGGGTCACCCCGGTAAGCCATCTGTTGAGCGATAACGAAGCACGACGTGTCGGGCATGTATCATGTGTGTGTGTGTGTGTGTGTGTGTGGAATGGGAGCCGAAGGCCAAGGCCGGGTCCGGCCTCTTCCATGCTAGGCGGCGCGGTGCGGGTCTTCCGTCGAGCTGCGGAGTACAGGGCCCGGGATGACGGTGGCAAAAGAGGCAAAGCCAGTAAGGCAAAGCGCCTTGGCCAGATATAGAGAGAGAGTACATAGTAGATACGAAGAACCATCTCCCAATCAGAGTGCTTGAGAGCGCTTCCCACGCCTCGAGCTGCGGCGGTGGGGGGTATCCACAACCACTTTAGAGATTCCTGCACTGTACCCAGGCAGGGCTGATTGTTTACAACCCCCGCAAAAAAAAACCAAAAATCCGCCAGACTATCCTATATTGCGATGCGAACGAACTAACGAACTGCGTTTGAGAGTTTCCGGAACAAGCCTGGTGGGCGATAGGGTTTTCCCTTAATCTACACGAGGTCATTTGGCCCTTTCGCCGCCGCAACACAACACGTACGTACGTACTCATCTGAGGGGGACGGGGGCGCGCAGCTTGTTCGTCGACGACGAACAGGTTTGGGGCCGGATTGATGAATGACGTTTTGCGCAGATGGAAATGCCGTCCGTCCGGAAAGAGAACCGAGTTTAGAACTAGGTAGTCAGCCACGGGAAAACCCTGACCATTCCCCCTCCAAGACCGGCCGAAGGGGCAGCCGAAGGCCCTCCCGCCGGAGTAGGCAACGCTCTTCTTGCTTTTGTGGCCTCGTCCCGATCCACGGCCAACTTGCACATGCAGTACAGACCAAACCGCGCGGCAGATGGGATATAGGCATCCTCAGCGGCGGCGCCTTCGTCAGCGGCGGTTGGCGCCAAGTCCCGCGACCTGGAACATTGCAGACGCACACACCATCGTCATGCGTGCGGGACGAGGCGGCCACGAGGCTTAGCAGACACGGCGATATTGGCGAGGGGTGAGTGGTAGACGGATGTCACGCGTCGTTCGAATCCTCGTCAATCTCCGTCGTCTACCTCGAACGCCGTGCACCTTCTACGTCACATGGTATTCGAGCCGGGGGGCGGGGGGGAGGCGGGGGGTTTGGTGATTCTGTAATCTGGAGGGACATGCACGTTCACGATGGCAGAGCGGCGTGGGTTGCCAAGTTGGCAGGTCGTCGCGGCTCGCGATGCGGATAGATTGCCGTGGCTGCAGGATGCAATATCAGTATCAGTCCGCTTGGTTCCGAGTCCAAGCCATTCCCAACCAAGTCTTTCCTCTCTCGAGGGTTTTCCCCGGCCCGCTCGTCGTCGGCCTGCCCGTAATTCCGAGCAAAAAGGTAGATAGATAAATGTATATGGATGAGTATATGGATGGGTGGATATATGGATGGATGGATAAATAGATAGATAGATAGATACTATGGTATCGGGCCAAAGTTTAACCCCCTCGTCAGGTAAATATGGCCGTGCTTTTCTGATTACCTCAGCGACGGTACTTTGAGGTTCTTGTGCACATCCATCATAATTCTGGCCAGTGAGAGTCTCGCGTACGTGGGTCACAACTCCACACTACCTGTTAGGGAGTTTTTACTTACCCATCACACGTAGTAGATGGGCAGATATAGAGATAGAGCCGGTGAAAACGGCGCACATGGTGGAGGGCCATTCCTAGCTCATTGCTGCTATATGATGTACGCACTATAGGGTGAACCCGTGGCGTCAATCAATCCGAGGCGCAAAAACTCAATCAGCACATGCTCTCGGGGTCTTCCTGGCTCTGAGGCCGATGACGCGATGCCAGAACGGGGAAGCGGCAGGGCGGTTCAGAACTGATACCGTAATGTTGCCATACTCGGTATCCGTATACCATGTACCTGTAGAACCCGCAGGCGCGCACGCACCGCTCCGCGCAATTCCCTTCCCATCCGTCTGCGAAAGAGCGTCGACTGGGTACCCTCCAAGCATCGAACGCTAGGACGCCGTCGTTGATATTGCAAAGTGTGATCGGTAGACGCGCCATCGCAGCGTAGCATGGGGAATGGGGGGGAGAGAGAGAGCTTGTTTTGGGGTACGTGGAATGTTCGGAAAACGTGGTTGACGGTAAAATTGCGACGGTACCTTGGCGCGCGGCGCGAGGTACGATGTAGATATCGATCCGCGGGGCCGGGGGCGTGCGTGCGTGTGTGTGTGTCTGCCATGTTACGCCGTCGGCGAGGTTGAGAGATGAGGTGCCCATTCATCATTTCGATTTTCCCCTGCTCCCCTCCCCCCCACCGGCCTAGCGTATCCGCACTCCGTCTACCCGTACGTCCGATGGTCACATAGTGTGTGTGCACCGCTTCCAACGCCGCCAATCATCACCGCCGTCCGCCGCCGCCTTGCGGGGAGGGACACCCGCGATCTAATATTAGGATCTTCCTGAGGACCTGTGGTCCCGGGTGTCGTACACGATGGCGACGAGAACGACACGCGACGACGAGCGACGAGCGACGAAGACGACGACGACGAAGACGACGACGGGTGCCATCACTTCAAGCCGTTGAGAAGGGGTGCCATCCATCGGGGCCTGTTGATCGGCCGCCCTCCCTCGTGGGATTACTCACAGCAGCAGGCCAGCAAGCAGCAGACGCGCTTTGACGGGAAAAGAGGGACCCTCTCTCTCTGTGTGCCGAGAGCCAGTGAGCCTCTGCTGTGCAGCTATCTATCGGGCACATCAAACGTCGATCGTCTGTCTGCCTGTTCGTTCGCTTCCTGTCATGTGCATTATTCCGAGCCTTCTCTCTCTCGTCCACCCATGTTCGTCGAGAGAGTTGATCCCATCCTCTCAACACCCCCTGCTTCTTCTCTCGCTCTTGTTGATCCACCAGCCCGTTGAGAAACAGTCGTTACCGCAGATACACTATACTCCGCAGCCCACCCCTACCCTTGCACCTATGGATCAAAACGACGAGCACGAGAAAGGGAAAAGGAAAGACCGGGGGGGAAAGGGCCACACAGTGAGAGAGGTCAAGGTGATTAGGGGGGGGACCCATGCATCCAGGGGGGGTCGGTCCCCCGGAGGGGATCCATACAGTGCCTCTCGCTTCATTCGCTCACCGACTGAGGATCTACGCTAAGCTACTACCGTATCCTCTCAGTAAATTCGCCCATAGCTAATCCACAAGCTAACGGCAAGGGGTATCGCGGCCGCTGTGAGAGGTATAGTGTGCTGGCAGAAACAGGGATCTGGATGTGGCAAAAGCAGGGGTTAGTCATTTACGTCAGCAGGAAGTTAAGGCGTAAGAACAGTAAATAAAGGGCAAGTGGGCAAGTGGGTGGATGGGTGGATGGGCTGACCGCTTTCTTAAATAGGCTTAGCGCTGTACGCGGCCACTTTCCCCCTTGCCGTTAGCTCGTCAATTAGCTATGGGCGAATTTACTGAGAGGATACGGTACTACGAGATCCGTCAGTTCAACATGCTCGAGTTGAGAGGCTCAGAGGTCCCGAGGCCGCCTGCCTTGTCCGCTTGGCGGTGTACGAATATGCCGTCCCCTGCCGTCCCCTGCCGTCCCCGTGTGGTTGCTCATCTCGCTTTTACTGAGTCTTTTCAATCTGCGACACAGCCCCCCCTAGGAAACAGATGCATTATGGGGTTCAGGTCAGTGAAACCCCCGGTTTTGTTCGTCTCTTCTTTTCCGTCGCATTTCCTCCCGGGTAGGGTAGCCATCCATCTCGGCTACGAATTACATACGAATGCCCCGGTACCCATACACTGGTGATGATCACGCCACAGAAGTAGAAGGAGGCTCGGCTCTGATTAGGTATATGCGAATCGCCAAGTCGTCGTCGCCCAGCGTCACAACCGTACCTGGCCGTACCTGCAGAGCACGCCATGCAAGCAAGCTGCAGCCGCCCTCCAGTCATTTATTGTAGATCCCTTGCCACGCCCCCAACCCCCTCCCCCGGGAGGGGGGGCTATGTTTCATCCTACTACCATATTTGCCGTCGTCGTCTGACTCTGTATCCAAAGCCGAGTGAGTGAGCTGCTTCCTGGAGATCCATGGCTCCCCTCCTCATTCACCACCTGCACGACATCACAGGGCAACGAGACTTTTGAGATACTCCGATGATGATGCCATGACTTTGTCCGCTCGACGACGCACACACGGGCCTTCTAATATGCGTTCTTGCGAATGACTCGGAACCACCCCGCCCTCGATCCGCACCTGGCTGAGATTTCGGTCAAAGCCCTAAAGCGTCGTACAAACACGGATGGATGGATACAGCTCCCCCATCAAAGGCGGGTTTGTTTCCGAGCCTGCGGATACCTAGCACGCCCAGGTCCTCGTCGCCTCTCATCGCCAACGCCGTTCTCGTAAGTTTACCATGAACGTGGATATGGGAGACGGCATGATGGGCGTGGCGCGCGCGCGACCCCCCACCAAAGGGGAACAATGGACGAGAGAGGCTACGAAAAGCCTTGCCACGCGACGCCTCGCCCTCGTCGAGCCTAAGACTCTCCCTCTCCCGTCCCGCCTGCCTATCCCCATCCGGAACGGCCGTCTTCGGTACCCTGCAAACGGCGATATCCCCCGATCGTACGGTACGTATCGCGCCTCCGCCACCAGAGAGGCGAGAAGCGACGAAAAAGTACGTAGTAGGGGAGAGCCAAGGCACAGGAGAAAAAAAGAAAGAAAGAGGCAGAGAAGAAAAAAAGAAGAAACAATCACCCGCTGCAGAGCACAGAGTATAGGGGCTTGCATGACAATGGATGGCATGGCATGGATGGCAGTATGGTAGCGAGCCAAACAGCCGCGTTCCCCCCCCCCCTCCTCCAGGACAAGCGAGGGCTAGGTATCTTGACAACTTAATGCGCGACCGTTAAGGTCGTCTTGTTCCTAGGGGAGCTGAAGATGCAACCAACAAATGGCAACGGCCCACGATCATAGGTCGACCTGCCATCCCCGTTCGCCCCCCTCCGGCTCGTCTCCGTCGTGCCTATCAGCGGCCGCTCCGGCTCCCTCCGCCGTACCCCCCCGTCCGAACCTGCCGGAAAGGGGAAAACAAGGTGTGGGTCCCACCTCCGTCCCCCGAGCTTCTCGACCTCTCCTTCGGCTGCCCCTATTCTCACCTCTTACACCATCCCACCACACCCCCCTTATCGTCCACCTCCCAACGGGCGCCGTGCATCACGCCATCTCTCCTTAGCTACATTGCGACCGCCAGCCAACAGCCCCCCTCATCAAGCCATCTTCAAGCCCTCGCCAAGCTCTCATCAAGCCACCTTGAGGGTACTTGTCCTAAGCCTTCCCGCCAACTGTGCATACTGTGAGCCTCTTGCGCCCCCCCACCGGGACCGAAAACCGAGCACTCGCTAGCCTCACCCCCGTTCTACGCCCGAGTCCCGTCGCCAAACTTGTCAGGCGTAGGGTGTTGGCGCCGCCCGAAAGAGCCGCCTGGATACTCTGAGACGCATCCGTCCAGCCTACCACGATGACAACGACGACGACGACGGTGATCACCACAACCACCACCCCTCTAGGTGTCCTAGGTAGCTGTAGCGAAGCTAGCCATCTGCTCTTCTCTGCTCGCCTTGTTCGTATCCGGCAGCTTGAGGAACTCCCGAGGCCGGTTACGGTGATTGCAGGCGCTGCCCAGCCAGCCCTTTCCATAGACCGGTCCTTCTTTTCGGCTTCCATCTTCTATGCGTCAACGCGGCCCTCAGCAGCAGCCAGGAATCTATGCACCGCGCGACGTGGCTGGTCCAGACTGCTCCCGCTAGCGTGAAGAGATAGTCGGAAGCAGGCAGGTCAGTCCGCACTCCTTTGATGTAGGTACAGATCATGCCAGCTCCCAAGGAGCCGGATGCTAGGAGACGTCCACGCCGCTGAACGCGTGACTTGGGGAACGGCCTGTGTGCGTCTTCCATGGCCGTTGGCCAGATTACGCGAGATGGCCGATTGCTCCCCATTCTCCCATGCCCACGCCTGGCCCTGGGATCATGGAGATGAACCGTCATCTGGATCGAGGAGCCGTCGACGAGAGAGGCCTTGATCGCAAGCCACCCACCCTCGGGGCTGAGACTGCCATCCCAAACTTCTTCTTGCGGACAACCGCGACCTACACCAAATCAAAAAGTTCAGATGACACCTCTTAGGGCTGCCAGGCCGCCAGCCCCCCAAAGTGTCGTGTTAGCGTGCGGAAAACCTTGCGCCACAGAGAGAGGGGAGAGAGAGAGAGATGGGGGGGAAAGCCACCATGGTGCAAAGACCATTTAGTGACGGCTAGTCGTCGTCCGAGCAAACAGTGAACGGACTCGGGAATGGAGCTGGCTAAGCAGCCCGTCGACGGGAAGGATAAGCGTCGGGGGCCGGCGTGACCACGTCAGGCAGCCGGCGGGCGGCCGGTCGCTGCGGAAATGAGAGCCCGTCGAGCGCCCGCGGTCGGGAGATTGTGGATGCCTGGCCGACGTGGGCATTCTGTAACGTCCGTTGGCGTTCGTCCGTCCGAGAGCGAGGCGAGAGGGGGGTTGGTTTGCCTGCCCTTGCAGGGTAATGAGCGAGAGGCCATCGTGGGAAGAGTGTCGGTGCCCTCTTCTAGGCCGATTTGTGGGTTTTCGACTGGTGGGAACGGGCTCAAACGCGACCAGGGCACTTGAGGAGGGGGGGAGGCGTACTTCGAACCATCGTGCGTCCTCGCCAATCTCCAGGACAGCAGTTTCAGCCTTGCCGCATCGCGTTATTAACGTTGTATTGGCCTGAACCCGAGGCCGTGGCTTCAGCACCAATTGCCGCGTGCGAGTCCCCTCCCCCTTCGTCATCCCAGACTGCAGCATCTGACGCAGTCAGCAGCATCCCATTGATCATTCATATGCCGCCCTCCCCCCGACAATCGCGAATATGCCAGGCTGACGCGATCCCACAGGGAACAACAAGCGAACGCAGCGTCGCCGACCATCGGGCATGCTTGTAGCAGCTTGCCTACGGTCGGGGCCTCTTGCCATTTGGACTCGCCAGCACTGGCGCCGTTGCATCGTGAGCTGGCATGGACAGAGACTCGAGGGCCCGAGTCACAGGCGGCTGAGCTAGGGCCCAGGAAATTGAACACCATCTGTATGTTTGTCACCTGCAAACGCTCGGGCGCGGAGAGCACTGACTCCCCGCGCACAAGCGCGTGGTTTTCATGCAAGCGTCGTCTGCCTCCGTGTCGGGAGATTGCTGTTACCCGATGCCGCAGACGCTCGCCCGGTGACTTTGACGGCCTCCAGGCGCCGTCTGGCTCGAGCCCGGAAGGGGTGAGGGGGTTCGAACGGCAACGCTGCGTTGTCCAATCGCCGTCTTTGGCATCGATCTTGGTGGTTGTCCATACGTCGGCGGTCGCGGGTTCAGTTGACGGGCGTCCCCCGGTCGTTGGGGTCGCTAGCCCAACGACCTTACGGCTGGTACCTGGCCCAGGGAGCATGGAGCATGCGGCTCACGGCGCCTGATCCGCGTATCAAGGCAAGGTCGTGTGTTTAACCTTTGATGGTAGACTCATATGACAACTAGGCCCCGGGCGAGACATGGGTTAGTGCTGGCTGGCTCTGGCGATGCTGCGGCCACCTTCACCGACGGGAGGCCCTCAGGCTTAGACATATGGCCTTGCAGATCCTTCTAGTATCTTTCCAAGATGTCTGATCATAGTATGAAACGCTGGGGCGAGGCCAGAATCTTGACAAGAAACCAGAGTGTCAACCCATCCCGACTTACTTCAACGACGAAAACTGTCAACAACACCACAACCTGTGGCCGGGAAGACAGGAATTCCCTCTTTCCTTCGCAGAAACTTGCATTTTCCCGTCAACCAGGTGAAAACGGGAGAGGAAGAAAAAAAAAAAACACATTTCTCAAAACTTCCCCCCAAGACGTCTTGTGGCGAGAGCGAACGCAATGAAGCCGCGCGCTCCAATTGGTTACACGGTGACGGTTTCGAACCAAGAACGAGATGGCGGCTCTGAGACTTGGAGGGCTATGGTGACGTGCGGGAGTATAAAAGCTGCCTGGACACGTCCGCATTACATTAGTAGCCCATCATGCATGTGTCCAACTCACTGGCTCGGGCAACCACCAGGCAAGCGGAGGACAGCAGTAGGTCGAATGACTATTGACCTTCATTCCCTTTGAGGTGTGTGTGTGATGTGGGCTGAGCATACCTGTACCGTCATGAAGAGGCACAAAATCTCCGTTTACAGGTCGTAAACCGGTTGGATCGTACGAGAACGACGGCTCTCCATTGATTGATTGTCCTCGTCGACGGTACAAGGGCCGCCAATGGCACATCCAGCTCTCCTTTTCCCGAACTACCTTTGAACGCAGCCAACAGCAAAGGGCAGAGCTGACTTTTACAAATGCCTGAAGGCGAGTAGCCATAATCCTCGACGTGGCACTGCGGACCTTCCTCGATCGACCAAGGACGCGCCCATTCTCCTCCCCTCTGCCGTGTCTCTATTTCCCCTCACTTGCGATGAAGAAAAGCACACGCGTATACAGTATACTAGTCGGAAGGCGTTACCTCCTCGGTGGCATGTGGTGTAATCCCAGACGCCGGGTGCCCTCATGGCCCATACTCTGGTGATGGAGAGCGTCATCCGTGCCGCGAGCAGCGTGGGTTGCCCGGCACAAGGATGATCACTATTTACAAGTCCTTTGTAGCACACAGACGAACCAATGCATTCTTGACCATCACTAGATGTCGACTGACTATTTGTGCCTCCCCAGGTCACAGCAGCAATGCCGCTTCCAGCAGCGTCCTCACAAACGGCTGGCCGCGTGAGTACTTTGGACGTCCCATGAGCTGCAAAGTCGGCAAACAAATCTACTGCGTGAAACAGGGATACTCTTACCCCAGCAACCAGAGCGTCCCAAGCATCACAGCTAAACACAGCAGTCAGGCATACGTGGGCGTGTTCCGCGAACGAGCTCCGATGCCTTGCCGGCTGCCCCGTCAGCCAATCCCCGGCCTGGGTCCGGCGTAGCTGGTCCCTTTCGACAGGGCGTGCCGGGAAAGACGGGCCTGCCTCCGCAGAGCCAGGACGGGCGGTCTGCATACGCACATTGTGGGATAACGAACGGCAAGACAACGTCGTTGCAGTCTCGTCAAGCGAGGTAAAAGAAAACCCTCATAGCGTTTCGGCTTCGGTGGTTCCTGCACCTTTCGGACGGAAGTTCCGCGCCGCGGGGACCGACCGCTCTCCAGACTCGAACGCGCGCCCGGAATACAAGATCGGATGGTGGTTATGCAGGTCCTCCTCTGCTCAGCACCGCCGGAGCACCCCAAAGTGTGGGGAAGAGCTGAGACGGAAAGAGGTCCGCGTCTTGTTGACATCATTCCTTTAAAAGCATCGCGTATCCCCCGCATACGACGTGCCCAAACCTTGGAAAACCGCATCGGTACATGTTTATACACACACACACACACACCAAGCCTATATAGAGCCCGCAAAGCCAATGAAGCGTATACAACAGCTCGGACACCAGCTCTCACAACGTCCTAAGCCCGACGCGATGGCCCCCGCATCCCCCGACCACCCTCTCAACGAGAACGGCATACCGCCGTTCGAGGCCCTCCCGCTCGGCAGAGGCAACCCCAGGTTCTCGGCCTGGGGCCTCTACGGCGACAAGGACGAGTTGGGGACGCTCAACAGGCTGACCAACGAGCGCGTCGCTGCCGCGGCCAGGAACGAGATCAAGACCGGCGCAAGGTAGAACTTCAAAGCCCATCATCACCCACCCGCTCTGGCTCGAACCCCGCCTCGGCATTCCATGCACACACACACACACACACACACACACACACACACACACTACACGTCTAGCCACTGACCCAAGTCCTCCTCCACCCCCAGAGTCTCCCTCAACTGGTCCCTCACGGCACAGCCGGCCCCGTTCTTCGCCCGCCGCGCCTTCCACCACGACCTCATCCACAAGCGACCGCGCTGCGTCAACGACGACGTCTGGACCTTCAATTCGCAGTCCTCCTCGCAGTGGGACGGGCTGCGGCACTTTGGCTACCAGAAGGAGGAGAAGTTCTACAACGGCGTCTCCATGCACGACATCCACGCAGTTGACGACGAGGGACGGCGGTCGACCGTCAACGGTATACAGGGTCAGTCCGGCCTGCCCCCGTTTCCCGCCCCGTCTCGAGCCCACCTTCCAGGCACCGGGCAAAGCCTGGTGCGGAAATCGGGATGGGACATCTGAGAGGTATGGTGGGGGGGGGGCTGACGAGTCGAGTAGCATGGCAGAAGTACGGCATCGTCGGCAGAGGCGTCCTCGCGGACTACCACAGCTGGCGCCTCGAGCAGGGCACCCCCTACGATCCCTTCGCCCGCGACTCCATCCCCGTCTCGGACCTGGTGGCATGTCTCGAGGCACAGGGGACACAGGTCAGCTTCGGCGACATCCTCTTCACGCGAACAGGTATTCCCGGCCCTCTCCACTCTTCCGAGAGAGAAAATGAGACGTCTAACACAGCACTCCCAACCCCGCAGGCTTCATGGCCGCCTACGCCGCCAAGTCCCCCACCGACCTCGAAAGCTACCGGACCGCCACGCCGCAGACCTTCAGCGGCGTCGCCCAGTCCGAGGAGACGCTCCGCTGGGTTTGGGACAACTTCTCGGCCGTCGCCGGGGACCAGCCGACCTTTGAGTGCTGGCCCCACCGTGACCCGGAGCACTGGATGCACGAGGTCCTGCTTGCCGGCTGGGGTATGCCCATCGGCGAGCTCTTCGACCTCGAGGCCCTTGCCGAGTGGTGCCGTGAGGAGAAGCGATGGAGCTTCTTCGTCGCCAGCGAGCCGTGCAATGTCCCCGGCGGGGTCGCAAGGTGAGGATACCCACCCGCCCCCCATGTTGGCAATGGTTCTGGGTACGAGTTGGCGAGCTCCGTCTGCTGACATGATGTGAAGTCCGCCCAACGTTCTGGCCATCTTCTAAGACCTCCACGGTACCTGAGCAGAGACGCTACGTCTGTGACAACACATGTGGTAGCGGAGATATTTGTACAAGATCACTCCTAGAAAATGACATGCCGCCCCTGCTGGCAATTTGCCGGGCGCATAGAAGCGGTAAACCAAAGCGCTTGGGCGAGACGCAGTGGCATCCCGAAAAAGAAGGAAAAGGAAAAAAAAGAAGGAAAAAAAAAGGAAAACCACCGAAAAACCAGGTGGACGGGATCATTGCTTTGAATCAATGGCTACTACAACCAACCCCCTTAGGTTCGAGCCATCCGCCTTCATCGGCACGTAATTATCAATTACAACTTGATGCCGCAAACCCGATGATTCATGGACCCAATCGCATGAGACCTGAAGCAAGATGGCTTCAAAAGTATATTCGCGTATGTCAGCTTTCCTAGCTGAACTAAATTGTTGCAACAAACCAAGCAAGCCTGACGCCCTGTTGTGCTTTCAACCACCGCGGGCCCTCTATCACAGATATTCTACCCTGTTACTGCTGGCTCATCCCCTATGACTCTTGCGATCGCTGGCATCTCGTTAGGACTGCTGCTCGGGTCAGGAGGAACTGTCAACTTACGTGCTCAATCTCCTAGACAGCTGCTGCAACTTCTTATCGTTGGCCGCGTCTTCGGCTGCCTTCTCCAACGCCTGCTTCCTCTCCTCCTCCTGATGCTTGACAACCTCATCGTGGCTGGGGGGCAGCCTTTCGTTCTGGATATCGACCTTGCGAGCGTCCTCAAATGTGTTGATGGCATTCTTGATACCCTCAGCACCCAACATGAGGGTACCAGCGGGCAGCCTGCCGCCAGAGACGGTCTTCAGCTCGGTGACACGCTCGGACTCCTCACGCAGTACTTGGAAAACACGCGAAAGACGACCAATGGCCAGGATCTTGTTCTTGATCGCTCGTCTCTTATACTCGATCGACTCGGGATCTTGCGAGGCGCCCGAGAGGGGTGGCGACATGGGGCCAGGCGACGTGGAAGAGGGCGTGGCGTCCTCCTTCAGCTCCTCCTCGGAGCATGTGCTAAGGATGCCGATAAGCATGTCGGTAATCTTCTCGCCCACAAAAGGCAGAGACCAGGTGAAGACGTCCATGAAGTTTGGTAGCCAGTACGGGTGGGGCGTGCAGTTGAACTGTCGGATGTTCATGACGTTGTTCTCGTACTTGAGAACGGCAGCCTTGTTGTTGTAGACGTCGAGGTAATTCGGCGCCGAGAAGATGGTCATGACACTGGGGAAACCCGTGGTGCGAGTCTTACGGTACATGCGGTATCCAGCATCTTGTGCCTCGTGGGCTCGAATGACGGAGAGGAGGTTGTTCTTCTCAAGGAACGCACAGGCTGCCGGGTACGAGAAGAAGTAGGAGCATCCGCGGACGTGGTTGTGAAGAAAGTAGTCGCTCGTCTTCTCTTGCCCAAAGTCTTCCAGGGGATCGGCCCAGAGGATGTCGCACATCAGGCCCTGGGTGGGCGGCTCGCGGAAACGGTCAATCTGTACGTGTCAGCTGGTGCGCCTCGGGGTGGGGGCAGGGGACGAGAGCTCGACTCACGCTTCGCAAGTCGTCGAGGGTGTGAAGCTCGGGGCTAAGGCCGCCGTGGATGCACAAAAACTGCTTGTTCATGACAGCAGCTAGGGGCAGGCAGCAGAACGACTCCATGCAGGCCTCGTAGATGGCCTCGGAGTACTTGTGCTTGCACTCGAGCTTGAAGGTGAAGTAGTCAGTCAAGTGGCGACACTCGTGGTTGCCACGGAGCAGCCACAGGGTCTTGGGGTAGTGGATCTTCAAGCACCAGAGGTACAGGACGCATTCGATACTGAAGTATCCTCTGTCGACGTAGTCGCCGAGGAAGAGGTAGCGCGTCTCGGACGGGTCGCCTCCGACTTCGAACAGCTTCATGAGGTCGTAGTACTGACCATGGACGTCACCGCAGACGGTGATGGGCGCATCCATTTCGAGCAGGTTGGGCTCGGCACGGAGCAGCTCCGTGCAGGTTTTGAGGATCCACAGGGCCTGCTCCTCGGTCAAGCGGCCCTCGCGATAGAAATGCTGCTTGAGGAAGTTGATGTCGGGCTTGGTATGGGTCTCGTCCTCGAAGAACTGCTCGTCGGAGGGCGTGAACATGGCTGGGGCCTGCACATCTGTGACGACAATCAGGTTAGCGGCTCGAGGGCGGTACAACGAGGGCAAACATGGCAGCTGCCACGGTGGCGGCATCGATGGGGATCGAGGCCGTGGCCAAAGGACCATGCGTACCTTTGCAAACCCGCTCCATGGTGTTCACTTGGGTGCCATCCTCCATGGTGTGGATGGTGAAGTCGATCTCGGGCAGCGGCTTCTTCTCGCGAATGGCGCGAATGGCATTGTCGACCTGTTGCTGGGTGCGACGCTCGTCGCCGGGCGCGCTGGGTCCTTCGGGATCCATGCTGGCTGGCTGGCTGGCTGGTGGGTGAGTTGGGGCGAAGATGACGGTGACGGCGATCTAAGGGTGGTGGTAGTGGTGGTGGTCGAGGGGCTCGGTCGGGGTATCGACGGCGGATACGAAGGAAAGTCGTTTGTCTCTGGAATGATCAGAGCGGTGAGGAACGGCTAGGCGAGAACCAGCTCAGGGTCGTGTCGCGATGGGGGCCTACAAAGAGGCGAGCTGGGATGCGGCAAGTCGTTGATCACGAGACAAGACCAAGCGAGAAGGGCAATGCGAGACGAGGTGAGGCGAGGGGTAAAAATTGAGGTGAGGAAAGATAGGGCTGAGAACAGATTGCGGGTGAAGGGGAACAGGATGGGATGTACTCGGCCAGAGCCTAGAGGTCTTGTGCTGTAAGACCGACCAGTCCAGGTCCCAGTTCCCAGTTTATTGCTACGCTACCTACTTTACCTGGGTACCTTGCGCTGTCTGCCTGCCCAGAGTTGGGCTTTTTTTTTCTTTTTTTTCTTCCTCTCTCCCTTTTCTTCTTCTTCTGCTTCTTCTTCTTCTTCTTTTTTCTTTCTTTTTTCTCTACAGGCTGGGCACCTCGCTAGGGGTGGTCAGCCGCTGACACCATCAAACTGTTTTAACGCTTCTGTCAAGGACTCAACGATCCCAGTGTCCCTTCTGATGCCAGTCCCCAGGGTGCTTGCTGTGCTGCTGCTGCTATCGCTGGTGTGGGCGGTTTGCTAGTGTATGGCAAGCCAAAGCCGGGAAAACACACCTCGGACGAATTGGCAGGTGGTAGACGCCAGATGCCCGCGGACGGTGGATGTGATGGAAAGTCGGTATACATTGCTGTGATGGAAGATAACATGGCTGGCAATGTACCTCGACTTGGCCCCATTCCTTTGCCCCTCGCATCAGCCTGTCAAAAGCGTCCGATTGCCTCTTTTGCCCCCACCTCGACTCCCTATACCGTAGACACTCGCGAGATTGATAAAGCGCTAATTAGAAGGCTAACTGTAAGAGGTAGTAGGCTAGCTAAATTCAGCTAGCGTACATCTACTGCGCTAAGCCCTTATTGGAAAGCGGTCAACTACTTGACCCCACCTACCTTCTTGCCAGCCAGCCAGCCAGTCCATCCAACCTATTCAGCCCATCTAGATCCCTGCTTCTGCCAGCAGACTATACCCCTTACAGCGGCCGTCAAAGCGGCTGCTATGCCCCTTGCCGATTAGCGTTTTATCAATCTCGCGAGTGTCTACGGTAGTAGAACGGACAGGTACGTACCCCGCGACCTTCCCCTCCCCCTCATCGGGCGGCACTTTTTCCACTTTGATTCATCTCCCCTCCCATCCCCTCCATTCACTCCCTCCACAGCTCGGTTCGGACTTTGCTGGATGGCCGACAATGAATATCGCGACGCGCGCGCATTGGACACGATTTCCATCATCAACTATGTATGTAAGAGAATGCGCTAAGATAAGTGTTCTGGCTGGATTCGATTATCTATCCTGTCCTCTATCGTCCGCATCTAGCCTCTACATTTGTGTGGTTCGTTGCTCAACCGCTGCTGCTATGCCATCTGCAGCTCGCCTTCAGTTACTTTGTGTCCGAGATCAACCTCCATCTGGCTCATGCTGAGCGGAACTGAGCTGTCACTTCAGCGCTTGCCCAAACATCCCGACCAACAGTCAACCTCCACCGCCCGGTCTTTCGACCCATCATCAGGCATCCACGCTTCGCGCATGCCGCCCAGAGGCCTTGCAGATTCGCTGTGACGTTCTCCGTTCCATGTTGAGGGGTTTATCATTCTTCGTTTGTTCATGGCAAGCAGTAGCCGCCGTCGATGACGAGATCGCAGCCGGTGGTGTAAGAGGCGGCGTCCGAGGCGAGATACAGATACGCGCCCTTGAGCTCGCCGGCTTCACCCTCGCGTCTGCTCGAGGTTAGCACAAAACTCGTCATCAAGGCCGTCACGTTTACTCACCCCATGGGGGTCTTGTTCTTCCACTGCTTCTTGGTCTCGGCTCCAGCGAAAGCAGAAATCTCCGTCTTGATGTAGCCGGGCGAGACCGAGTTGACGCGGGCGAAACCAACCCATTCGACAGCCAAGCTCTTGCCTGATTGACCTGTTAGCCGAGACTACCGGGTAAACCGAGTGCATCACTTACACATGTGGATGACGGCCGCCTTGGACGCGTTGTACACCGTCTGCATCTGCGGCACGTTCACGATGTGGCCACTCATGCTGGCGGTTGCAATGAAGCTACCGTAGGTGAAGCCCTCGAGTTTCTGACCGTCGAGCGTGGTGCCCTCCTTCTTCTGCCGACGGAAGTGCTCGCCGGCAACCTGGGCGCAGTAGATGGGGCCGTTAACATTGACGGCCAAGACTCTGTCGGCGACGTCCATGGGTCCGTCAATCAGGGGGCCCTCCTCCCACGCAATGCCAGAGTTGGCAACGAATATGTCGAGGCGGCCGTTGAATTCGGCCACGATCTGCTGGACCGACTCTTTGATCTCTTGGTGAGAGGTCACGTTGACCTGGTACGCCTTGCCTACGCTGTGTCAGCGACCGAGCAGCACCGCGTTCTTGGACGGGCGACATGTACACTTGACGCCATACTCCTTCTCGATCTCGGCAGCGCGGTCAAGCGCCGCCTTGTTGCTGTTGTACCAAATGGCAACGTTGGCACCAGCTTCGGCGTATGCGTGGGCGATTTGTAGACCAATACCGGCGCCGGCACCAGAAACGATGGCCGTCTTGCCCTTGAGGGAGAACAGGGGCAGCACACGGTTGCTGGCTGGGGGCACAGTGGCATCGTGCTTGAAAGCGCCGTCTTTCATGTCTGTCATGGTTGCGAGGGTCGTGGAGAAGGGCTGGAATCTGGCGGTTCTGCAGGCGGTTGCGACACGAGGAATACAGAAGACTCGAGGCCGCGAGGCTGCAGCACGGAGGACAGAGCCGAACATTATATCGACGGGCGGCAAGTTAGAATATGCCGCAAAAGGCCCCCTTCTTTTTGAACCAACGTGTCAGGGTACCAGGGGTAAATCTTCACCGCACCCTACGGCATTGAGGGTCCTATTCGGCGATTCGACGATTCGACGAGGGGTCGAGGGGCGCCGAGGGGTCGAGGGAGGAGCTAATACTGGTACCAGCATAGCCGTACCAAGTATTACGGCTATGAGTGCCCCCCTGGCTCATGCACCGGAACAGTCTCGAGCGAGGTGATATGGTGGAGCTCAGGGAATGGGAAGAGAGCTCTGCCTACGTGGTACCTATGCCGTGCCGCCATACGCGAGGTCGGGTGGAGGGTCGGTAGCAGCGACAGCCGCCTGCGCGTCTCATGAGAATCATAACCGTCATCAACCCTGAAGACGGCACTAGGGAGATCCCTTTGGGGGGGCCACAATGTCACTCGTCGGGCGCCGCCGGGGCATGTGGGGTGTGACGTACCAAGGTGCATCAGGTTTCGGGGCTACTCGGGTCGCATTGCTCCAGATTACGCTGTTTGAAAGTCTATTCTACCGCAAGATACCGGTGTCAGGGACCCTGGAGGGCCTGAATCGCGGGGCTATGGGGGGGGGAAACGGATTGATCTCCGCCTTGACTCGACTGGCGCGCTTCTACGTATAGGTATACGGATACACGTACTTACAACCGCCTAAATACCTACAGGGACATGCACGCACATGAGACCTGCCAAAACTAGCCAACACGACGACGGCGTGATGCAAAAAATTCAATGTTTTGTGCCTTTCATCTTGAACACCTCGATGTTTTTAACTTAACACCACACGACAGACGCGGCTCTCTCCCAAACCTATCGACAACTTGCCTTTTTTCAGCCGACAACCTGATTTAGGATATGCTCGCGGGGGAAGTTTGTGTTTCTCCAGCGTGAGATGAAGTCGTCTCGGTTAACTGGTGTCTCGTCAGATGCCAACTCACTCGACGGGGCTGTTCGGAGGACTCACTGTAGGCACCGGCGATGCGCCTTCTTCCCTCGAATGCGCTTCGGCCGTGCATCACTCGCCAGTTGTCAAAGACTGAGACTCGTTAGCTATTGATGGGCGGGTGTGCACGCGGAGGGACGGCTGCACTCACTCAAAACCTGGCCGGGCTCCAACTGCACCCAATACTCGACATCACGCCTCCGGAGGATGGCATTCCACTTGCGAGCTGCCGCATACCACTCGGTCGGGGTAACATGCTTGGTGAAGGGCACAACGCCCCGGTCGTCGTTGTTCCACCGCACCCGTTGCAGCTCGCCCGTCTCCTCGTCGACCTCGAGCACGGGATACCGCTTGTCCGGGGATATCGTGATGCCCTTGTTGCCGCTTGCATGCCACGGCAGGCGCACCTTTGAAAGGATCTCGTACGCCTTGGGGTCCTCTTTCAGCAAGATCCGTGCCGCATGGAAAGAGTCGACGAGCAGCGACTCTCCTCCCAGCTTGCCGTCCTTGGGCCGTTCCTGTCCTGGCGGGGCCTCGTGGGAGAGCATGTGGAAGGCCTGCAACCCGGCCGGGTCTGTGAAGTAAGTCGTATCTGTGTGGGCCGGGAGGGCGATGTTGGTGTATGCCGTGTCGGCCATAGCGAGGTCGGGGATGAAGTCGTAAAATCCGCCGTAGTGCGTCTCACGGATGAAGGCAATCCTTTCCAGCACGCGCTGCGTCGGCTCAGGAGTTTCGAACGGGGTCTTGTCGACGAAGGCGAACCCGTATTCTCGCTGCAAGGGTCAGCCTCTATTCTTTCGTTGTCATCAACGGGCATGTTTCCCTACGATGAGCTTCGTCAACTTTGCGATTCCCGATTCATCTTCCGAGGCCATGACCTGGTTGTAGTCGACGACGGGGCGCCTGCTGCCAATGTCGGAGCCCCAGAGTTGGATGCTATGCATGTAAGCGATGGCAAGACCTGGGACTGACGGCGGTCCCTTACTTGACCTTCTCTGGACAACGGTGGTCATTCTGCAAGTAGTGTTTGATGAAATGCCAGGGATAGAAGCTCTGATGGCCGTCTTGCTCCCCTATCTTCGTCGTCAGTTTATTCCCACGCGCCCCAAGGGATCTATCTAGGCGACTCACACGTCACGGTGATGCCTTGCTCTTCTGATTTGATATCCGAGGGACGAACGTCTTCACTAATCTTCAGTCCAAGCTCTTGTTAGAAATCGAGATTGTCAGAGATTGCAGCAAGATGGGGTCGCATACGGAGTATGTGTCGAAGTTTCTTTGGGTAGTGTCTTGATTCACACAGTGGCTACAACGGCAGTTATCCCTGGATGCGGTGTGTCAACTGGGCGGTCTCTTTGTGGGTCAGATATACCGCATCACGTACCTCAACCAGAAGTGCGGGCTACATCGGGCGCGCGTGTCAGCAAATATGTCTTACGGGACGCCATGATGCGAGGTTATCCCGACGGAAAACGGACACCCGGACCCGACCCGGCGGGGGGTGGAAGTCAATCAAACGACTTACAGCGTCGATCTACGGGCAGGGCCATCGAATTGGATTCCACCCTCGACGATTCTTGCATTCAAATGCTGAGAACGGATAACAGCGGATGCGGAGAGGTGTCTCGCAAGCCGGAAAGTAGCCGTGATGCGGGGTGCTCCAAACACAGCGGCACGCCTAAACCGGGAGAAAGGATAGTGTGAGACCTCTATGCGCCACTATGAGACAGTTGACTTTAACTGATAGAGTACACACCTCGCGGCTCGGGGGCCGATGTTCCTCAGTGGGAGCATTGTCGCTACGGTTTACTGAATTCGTGTGTACGCCGGTCAACTATCGTTGGAAAAAGCAAAAGGAGAAAGAAAAAAGAAACCACGCTCTGGGAGAAAAAGGACTGGACCAAAGTGGCTTTGGAGGGTTCCGGACTGTTCATTTGAGGAGGTCGAAGGTCTGGTGTTGGAATTGGGGACGGACGGACAGATAATTAGAGGGCAATCTGGAAGGCCGCGGGGGCACCGTCCCACTGGCCCCTCTACCGACCTGGAGCTCGCCGAAGATGCTATACTTCTTCTGCACTGACAGTCTGACACAGACACCAGCCGATGGTCCGTTATCGCACCCCTGCAACTCGTTTCTCTTTGTCGGTTTGCTGCATCGACCTTTGGGGATAACAAGCCTCGGCTTGCTGGCCTTGTGTCAAGTCGGCTTTTCTTTTGGGACCTGAACAAAGACCGGCGGCCGGGCGGAGCCATTTCGCCATGGCCGGTGGATACGCCCTATCCCACTCCATTCCACTCCACTGCCATCGGCGGACTCTCTTGGTTAGAGAGACTGTCAATCGGAATTCGGAGCCGCCAGAGTCCCGGCCAAGCTCCAAATCGCATATGGTGGGTGTCTACGCGGCCCATCAAGCCTTGTACTGGCGCCGGCGATGAGGGCATCATGATCATGCCCATGTATGGGCCCCGCGAGCCTTCGATCGGTCGGTATACTGACTGGATCGGTCACAGGACACAATTATCATGTCCAGCACCGGCTCTGGCAAAGAGCCTGAACTATCCGCCTGCGCATCGCCAAGGGAAGGACACGTTCCAATCTATCCCACATCGTCAAGCAAGCAAGCACAAGCAACTCAGGCGGCCGAAGCGCCTCGCGCGAAGAAGATCGCGGTCCACGCCATGGGTCCATGGCGAGACTACGCTGCCATCTTATCCAGTCCATATCACTGCAAGTTGCGCCGGAACACCCCCGACTTCCTTTGCCCCTTCGTCGGTCCATCCGATATTTCTCTCCCTTGGCGTCGCTGGAAAGCCTGCCACGTCGTTGAATGTGCCTCGCTTCGCCCGCTGTGTCTGATCGTTCCCCCTCGGCCCCTCTCCGCGGCCTTTTCGCTACCTCCAAACCGAACAGGCGGGTTTTCCCAGCGAGAATAGCCGCCGTACCATTCTCTCGGGTTTGCGATTGCCTCTCCTGCCTCGTCCAAGGCCACTCGAACCCTTGGACCTTCATAGTGGCAACAGGCACCAAGCTGCGCGGACCTTGTATAAACAAGCGCCGGAAGTGCAGCCTCATCGCTCGGACTTCTATCGAAATAGCCCAACGGGGCGAGGCAGGCAAGCCCTCTCTTTTCTCTCGCTCGTCCACTCATATGACCCAGATGGTACCGACACAATGGTTCAGGAGCCTGTCCGCTCTCCTGTTTGCTGTCTCGTCTTCTGCGGCTTGGTGTTGGCGTTGGGCGTTGGTTGCGGGTGCCGCGCGTAGACGGCCCCTCTGATTGGCTGCGCTTGGCAACGAGCAGGACATTGAACGTCGAACCCATCGTCGCGGCACCGCCTGGCCTGCGGTTGGTCCAACGAAGCTTTGAACCAACGGTAAGGATTTCGTCCTTGCATTAGATGACTGCCGGAGACAAGACGTTGATATACCATGATGACTGCTGGACTTCATCTCGCCGAGTGGCGTTGTCTCAAAAGTTAAAGGTGCTGGTCTCACTTGGGATTTTCTTTTTCTGCTGCGCTCTCTTTATTCCCGATATTATTTTATTTTATTTTTTGTTTAATTACCATCAACGATATGGTCTCAGAATCGGGCTGGCGCAGGCTGTGCGTCGTTGCATGGCTTCTTTGCCATAGACACGTTGTCTGGGGAGTTGAAGTTACACCGCAATTACCAACAACACTGCAGACCCACGAAACGCGCCGACTTATACCCAGGGCGATACGGCCCAACGCCAGCTGCCCAGTTAAGGGATACAACTCGTGCGGAAACGGCATGGCCGACTACTTTTGCTGTCCCAGCGACACGACATGCCTGGTCCTGGCAGAGAATACGACGACCCTCTGCTGCCCGAAGGGAGCGTCATGCGATGTTATCTCGCCCATCATCTGCGATATCACCGCGCAGGATGTCATAGAAAACCCGGCAAGCCCTATTCACACCACGAAACTCGAGGAGTCTCTGCCATCCTGTGGTAGTAGGTGCTGTCCATTTGGCTACATCTGTCAAGGCGGTTCTGCCTGCGTTTTGGATCAGACACAGAAGTCTCACACCAGCACGCCAGTCTCGCCCACAACGAGCACAAAGACCACGACGTCGGTAACACAGACGGCGACCCAGGCAACGACATCGACACCTTCTGAGAGCGTTCCAGGGGTGTCCACACCATCAGCCAGCCTGGGCCGGGAGCCTTCAGCACCCCCGGCCATAGTGCCAACAGAAACGCCCGTCGCAGCCGCCTCGGCCGGGAACTCAACTCCAGGGGGCATCGTCGCCGGAATCACCGTTGCAGCAGTCTCTTCGGTCGCCCTGTTGACGTGTCTCCTCTGGCTCAAGCGGCGCTCCATCTCCGAAAAGGTCGGCTCCGTGCGGTGGTTCCCACGGCCCTGGCAACAGCTCCGCGAACGGGGCTCGGAGCAGAACGTCTCCTTGCCGCGGTACAACTCCCCGCCGCCGGCGTACACGATAGAAATGAAGCCCCCGTTCAAGCACACGGCGTTCAGACACTACAGCCCGGACTCGGTGGGGGATATCGTACCTGTCGAGTTGCCCGCCACGCCCGTTTCCTTTAGCGTGTGGTACGTTCGCGAGGAGGGGGAGGTGAGGAGGCCGCGAACTCATTATGAGCCCTACCGACGTCCCTCAGGGGAGTGAGTCGTGGGTGGGGCCCGGGTTCTTCATAGACAACTGTTTCATTACAGTCTTTGTGTGTGTGCGTGTGTGTGTTTACGCATGTCATCGTGCATGTCTTTTTATGAGAGATGAGACACGTCCTGTACATTATTATCATGAGAATTAGAGGTCTACAACGGGATCAGGATTTCGCCTGCCTGCTACTGCTAACCAGTGTCTTCTCGCTTCTTCATGGTTACGTCACCCGGGTTCGTTGTCAATGAGGCATCTGTGGCCCCGTGTATGTATATGAACGGCTCGAGGGCCTTCAGGGCCAAAACGTCTCCATCTCTTCAGTCGAGCCGTCCCTACCCTTTCGAACGGCTCTTCAACATTTGACCTTGGCGACAGCTCGAAGCGGCCTCGCAAGATGCCCCGCCCTTCGCCGGACCGTGTCATCCACGACTGGACATTCGCCGTCCTCCCCGTGACCGCGGGATTCGTCCTCATCATCCTCACGGTCGTCGCCCTTGTATACAGTATCGGCGTGAAGACGGCCATCCCCGAAGGTCTGGCCATCGCCTTCGCCGGCCTCGCTTACGGTCTCTTCGGGCTCTGGATGGGGGGTCACCTCGTACGCTACTGCAGGGGACATTACACGCGGGGGGGCATCGCCGAGGCGGTGACGCCCCCTTCGCTGCCCCTGACGGGCGTCGCAACTGGAGCGGATGGCGCGACGATGGCGGCGGGCCCCTCTATCGTGCTGCCCATCAGCTACCAGCAACTGCAGCAGCAGGGCCGACAGAATCACCAGCAGGACCACCGGCAACAGCAGAGGCAGTATACCCAGCAGTATCAATCCCGGCAGAACCAGGAGCAACACCAGCAGCAGCAATGCCAACAAGAGCCTTCGCTGCGGCCTCACACACAGTCGCCACCGTCACCGTCGCCGCAACCGCAGAGCCAGTTTCGACAGCAGCAGCAGCAGCAGCAGCAGCAGCGTTACTATCCGCAACAAGACCAACAGCCACCCCCACCTCACCAAAACGCGCGGAGACCAAACGATCCCAGAAACACACTCCTTAATCAAGTGCCGACTGTCTTACGACCAGGACCGAAGCAGAGACAGCCGCCGTCGGAACCCAATTCGAGGACGGACCAAAAGCCCTCGCCTATGCAACGCACATCTAGCGTGCAGTTGACCCCCGTCGAGGCGTATAGTGGTTGTCGGAGTCACAGTCTCGACGTCCCACGCCCCCTGCACCGCGAGAGTCGACAGGTCTCGAGAGGACCACCCGCGCAGGGAGCGTTGTCTGACGATGCTGCGGGATCCAATCCCCAGGGAAACCAAAGCCGTGTGACGCCGCATCACGGGGACGTGGAGCGAGACCCACGCCGCGCTTCGGTGCGGTCGACGAGCTTGGATTCCGGCACCCGGCAATCTTTACAGGCGAGAACCTCTCAGCTGCCGGTGGTAATACCGTTCGGCTCGGGGTGGGCTAATACTGGCCAGAACACCTCTCTAGCGGTCGCCCCTCTGAGAATACGGAAAGGAGGGGATCAGAGCCAGGCGCCCAGCCTCGAGGAACCATATCCCAGTGCCTGGGCTCCGGCAGGCCAGCATATGCAGATGAGCCAACAAGCAGGGCAGGTGAGGCCGAATCTGCATGGCCCAAGGCCGCAACCGCAAAGCGACCACACAGCCAACGGGTCTCGTGTCATTCGAGTAGTTTCCGAATCGCCTCCCGGCAACGACACCGCTGCCACACAGCTCGTCGAGGCCGAGGTACGTGGTCGTCATCTCGCTCCAGCCCCCGCTCCCTCTTCCCACTCTCATCCTCCTGCACTGAGGTTTGAGGATATCGACCATCCCGGGGTGCAAAGGACGTCACAGACAAGCACTGCCCTCAAAGCCGTGGCTGACGAGATTGCCAAGCATGTTTCGAGGGAGAGAACCAATGCCAACCCTGCCACAAACTTCGTCCTTTTGCCGACGTGTATCTTCACACACAGCCAGGTGGTGGACCCGGAGCGAAGCAACGCGGGAATCTTTGGGGTCCTCTATAAGGGTGCTGGTGACGAGAAGCCTTGGGATCCCGGGAGCGAGCTCCGGTACAAGCATGACAGTGGCATCATAGTGGAAGGCCCGAACGACGCAGAGCGAAGCAGTACGCCATCTAGCTGTTGGAGCTCATGGAGTAGCCGGCCAGAGGCCACCTCGAGATCCGGTCGGTCGGAGTGATATGGAGACTTGCATCTTTTCGGTGTTGTTTTGGCGGTGTGATAAGGTACTAGTCCTCGGATACAAAAATCTACTTCTTTTCACTTTCTAAGCACTGCGGCAGTTAGAGCGACGTCCGGCCAGCTTTGAACCAACGGAATGAACTCCCGGAACCATTGCCCCGCATGATTCTGCGCTTCATCTGACCAGCTCTCGGACGAGGGTGCTCCATGCTCAGACGGACTGGTTATTGGTAGTAATTATACTAGTGATGTCGCTGGTGAGGGGGTTGACCTGTGGCCCAAGTTCGGGGACCGAGATTGGAGCATCTTGCCGTATTACTATTCAACCTCGTCTTATTCAATTGGTAGGCTCATGGATTCAGTTGTTTGAGAGGCCAAGGATCATGCATGAAGGTGAAAAAGTAATCGGCCAGCGAGCCAGGTGAAGATTGTGTCATCGTCTGACCACCTCATCTTGATCTATCTGCATGGTATAGAGTTCAGCCGATATGTATAAGTAGAACGCAACAAGCTCTTGGGGCTTTCGGGGCGTCTTTGAAGTATTCCCCGAGCAACACTCTTTTTGGGCTCATGATATTGCCGAGATCGCAGTGGACGACATGACCAAGCCCGCCCCCAACGGCATGGCCTCCTGGACCAGCACAATCTACAGCCTCAACCGCGGCAGCGTCGAGGATGAGCTTGAGCGCCTCGCCTACAACCACTTCAACATTTGGACCCCCCTCACCGACGGCCTGCTTCCTGCCCACATCCTCTCATCCCTGCAGTCCCAGGACCGCCCAAGGATCGCAGACATCGCGACGGGGAGCGGCGTCTGGCTGACCACCCTCGCCGACGATGTTCCGCCGCGCTCCGAGCTCATCGGCTTTGACCTCGATAGGCTGAAGCTCCCGCCGCGCCCACCGACGCCGCCAATCCCTCCGCCGCCCGTGTCCCCTCCCTTGCGGCCGGAGCAGCCGACACTGGACTTCCGGGAACAGGATGTGCTGAAGCCTTTTCCCGCAGAGCTACGGGGGACGTTCGATCTAGTGCACGTGCGGCTGCTGGCACTAGGACTGAAGGCTGGGGACTGGGATGCTGTGCTGAGGAGGCTGTATGATCTGCTGAAGCCTGGAGGATGGCTGGTGTGGGAGGACACAGGTGGCCTGTACATGGCGGCGTTTCCGCCGAGTCGAGCGTATGATGAGTTCTGGTGGGCTACCATGAAGCACGATGCGAAGGTAGGGAGAGACAATTTGTGAGTCCACTAGCCACTTATCCTATTGCAGGGCCTTGCTGACTCCGGCGCAGAATGCCCGCCGCCCTGCTGAAGAAGCTTCGGAAACTCGGCTTCCAGAACTGCGAGCAAAGGGTCTGGAGCAGTTGGGCGGCGGACGATTCGATCCAGGAAAAGAGCACGAAGGCAACGCTCCAGCTACTCAAGCCAAGTTTGACAGCCGTGGTCGAAGACGGCGGCGAAGAAACGGTACGTACGATGGAAGATGTTAGCCGCATCGAAAGGGACTTGGTTCGGGATACGGACCAAAATGGCGTCCGTCTTGGGTTCGATTACTTTTGGAACTGGGGGCAGCGGCCTTCGTAGAGTTTTCGCCCTTCGAGGTACCTCGTGCGTGGCTTGTAGGAAGATGGGGGTACAAATTAAACAGTAGGCTTTCCGAGGTGGAAGTGCTCTTCTGAGAGGGGATCATTGCGAGTGAGCGGACTGTGGTGGAAAGTGGAGGGAGAAAGGAACCATAGCTTGGGGGTCGAGCTTGACGAGATAGTAATTGAGGATGGGGTCGACATGTTTCTATAATCGCGCTAGCCACCTCAAAGGGACAATCCCTCGTGTGTTGTCAAGTCTCGAAAAAAAGTTTCTCAGTTGTTATTTACCCCAGAGGCAGCACTCGTATCCAAATTCTAGGTCCTGTATGTCTAATTTCCCTTCAACATATCCCAAAATGAAGCCGAGGTTTTCTCACCGCTAACTGGGGGCGGCGACAAAATTATGGTGTTCCAAGTAACCTCGCCATCGACGTAGAGACTGTATTTGAGACTGCTCTGCTCTCCCTCAGCCAAATTTTCAATGGTGAGAGAGCCAAACTTGGAATTGCCAGAGTGGATATACCTAAAAAAAAAAGGTCAGTTATCGACATGACGTAACAATCCTGTATCACTGACTTGAGAGCGATGTCCTCATCGTCGCTCTGCCTATAGCTAGGCAGAGGTGAGGCGAACTGGTTAAGAGGGCTGCAAGAAAACTCATAGGCGGCAGCAGTCTGAGGCCATCTCCCGTCTGCAGGCGGAGGGAACTTGGTGGCCGCGAACTCGTGGCGGTCACCCGAAACAACAACAACACCGATGCCTCTCGCACCAGCATCCCACATAGCCTCGAGGACCTTTCGTCTCTCAACCAAGAAGCCGCCCCAAGTGTCCTTGCGGTTGATGGGCCAGTTTTTGGTCAATGGAATTGACGACGCCACAATCTTCCACTTGACACCCTTTGGCTCGGGTCTGTTGAGCCAGCTAAGGAAGTCCTCAAGTTGCTGAGCGCCTAGCATGGTCTTCTCCGGGCTATCGAAAGGGAGGTCGTTATCGGATCGGTATGAGCGGGTGTCTAGCATGAAGAAGCTTGCGGGTCCTTGAACAAACTCAAAGTAAGTCGCACCGTCTCTTCGGTTACTGGTTCCCGCAACGCGCGCGGGAGGGGGATTCGCAAGCTCCTGATAATGATGCCACGGCTCGATAGCAGCTCGGTAGACGCCCGTTGTGTTGGAAGACCAGTCGTTGGAAATCTCGTGATCGTCAAGCACGTGGATCCAGCTAAGGTTCTGCCCAACGGGAGCCCAGTCCGGAGAGGCGTAGACGTGGCGATACTTTTGACGATAGTCCTCTTCGTGCTTGCCCTGGCGCTTGGGCACATCAATGTAGATAAAATCGCCCAAGAACAACATGAACTGTGCCTGAAGCTTAGGCAGCACACTAGCTAGGTGTCGCATGCCTGGGATGGCAAGAGGATGTTCGAACGGGTTGTAAGGAAACCGCGGGAGGATACACGACGTCGAAAGAAAGGTAAACTTGTTATCCGCAAAGGCCGACATCTGACCAGCCCTTGGAGGTGCGATGAACTCGCCACTGTGATTGTTTGAAGTGCGCCATTCGTAGATCCTCTGCTGTGAATGTTTCAGAGGGATTGTGATCGTTGTGGTGAAGTCGGTCGTGTTGTCCGTGTACCTAGTTCCTCCAGCAAGCTGCCAGAGGGGATTGTCAAATGGTGGCTGCGGATCTTTGATGCGTATATCCATGGAGACAGGCATCTTAGTTTGGTCAGGCTCACGCAGGACGAACTTGGCCTCACTGGGTGAGACATATCCTAGGCGTACAAAAGACAAGTCGTCGACAGGGTGGTAGTGGCGAACGCGGAGGAGAAAGTCGGCGGCCATTGCAACCAATATGACATTGATCAGCAAGGTGAGGGCCGAGAGGATAGGACTGGTCGAGCTGGGCGTGCCGGCAAGTAAGGTTTTCCACGGGCTGGACTTCCCTTTCACAGTAATGGTTTCTTCGATCAGGATCTCTTCAGCGACGACGTGGCCGTTAATGGATCCATCTCCGTCGTCGCCTTCCGCAATCGTCTCCTTGACAGTGACGTCAACGTCGTCCTCGACAACGTCGTATTTCGACTCATTGATGTATCCGGAGACGAAGGAAGGTACAAAGACGGCAAAAAGTGCAAATATACTTAAGGGTACCGGAGCCTACACCATCATCAGTAGATGCGCCAAGCCTAGCGTTTGAGTGTTCGGAGATGATTAGGTGGAACTTACTGGGCCCGGAAACTAGAGTTACATGCAGCGATTAATGAGAGGTTCCTAGCAGTAATATACGGGAAAACTTACCCATCTCAGAAAGACGTATGAGAGCGCCCGCAAGGCGATCGAAGAAGTGGTTGCTATACGCGTTTGAATCGTCATAACGGCGGAGACTCCGTTGGAGTGGGTAAACGCAAACCCGAAAATGCCGGTCGGTTGCAGATGATACGTATTTAGAAATGTAGGAGTTGGCTTAGTCGGTAGATGTAAAGCATCTATATCATGTAGGGATCGCTGAAGGAAAGTCAAGAAGAAGCTGCTCCCCTTGCAGTCAATTGATCGGTGAACGGGCAAGAAAGAGAGTTTGATGGAAGGAACGAACAGTCCGCGAACCTGCCCAGAAGGAGGTGGAAGCTCTGCTGTAGACTTTCGGGAGGGATGAGGTCACTGATTAATTGAAGGCCCCATACGCGTTGAAACACTAATGCGCGATAACAAGCCACCTCTGAGGGAGACATGTGAGAGAGCGTGGCTAGTGACGATGGAGAGCTTCCTTGACAGAAAGCTCGAATGGGGGCCACCTTACTAGGTACGGGAGGACCAGTACGTACCTTCTCACATAGGTAGTACCTGTGCCTAGACTGGTCCGTGCACACATTCAAGGGGTTAACCTCTAAGCGGGCACCAATTTTCCGCGCGCCGAACTTTCAATCGTGGCCCGTTCTAAGTGACCCTTTGGCGACAGCTTGTCCACAATCCTCGGCATCAAGAGTCGACGATCGACACCCTCACGCGCGCCCCCCTCCCCTCGAGACTCCCACACAAGACATCATGAGGGTATCTTCCATTGCCTGCGGGCTTCTCGCCTGCTTCGTTTCCCAGGTTGCCGCTACGGCATTGACCTACAAGCTCCACGCCAACGAGAAGGCCTGCTTCTACGCCAAGACCCAGAAAGAGAACGAAAAGATTGCTTTCTACTTCGCTGTATGTTGTCAGTGACATCCGATCTTCTGGAATTGGACTAAATCGATGTGCGCAGGTCCAATCTGGTGGCTCTTTCGATGTCGACTACGTCGTGACTGGACCGGGCAACAAGATCATCCTAGAGGGAGCTAAGGAGCGCCAGGGTGACTTTGTCTTCACTGCACAACAGATGGGCGATTACGAGTTCTGCTTCAACAACGAGATGAGTACCTTTGCTGAGAAATTTGTTGACTTTGAGATTGCCGTACGTCGCCCCGATTCCCGCTGCCGTACACGATGCTAACTGCACATACCCGCAGGTCGAGAACGAAGTTCGCGCCCAGCTCCCCGCCAAGCAGGGCGCCTCCCCCGAACAGCACACCACCCTTGAAGAAACCATTTTCAAGCTCTCAGGCCAGCTCTCGACCATTTCCAGAGGCCAAAAGTACTTCCGCACTAGAGAGAACCGAAACTTCAGCACCGTCCGCAGCACGGAGGGCCGTATCATCAACTTTAGCATGATCCAGTGCGCTCTGATCGTGCTTATGGGAGCTCTGCAAGTGTTTATTGTCCGCTTCTTCTTCCAAGGAGCTCGCAAGGGCTACGTATAAAGCAATGGTCACAAAAACTGGTCTTGGAATTCTTGCGGTGCAAGCAGAGAGGAGTCACTAGGGGCTCGTGTATATCACAAGTAAAAGAGGTATGATGTGGTTTACGCTATGAGATATCAACGACGATCAGAATCCCAGCGCTGTTCACATGAGGTCTGGGAGTTTATGAAACGGCTGGCGAGTACCCTCACCAAGGCCAGTAGCACTGGCTGTAGGATACATATCAAATGTAACCGAGCGTCGATGTTTTTTGATGGCATGATACAGGTGTCTGGCTGTTGCTGCTAATGTGTTTTGTGCCTTGGAGTGTGTTCAGCAGGTAGTTTGGAGGGGAAGGCAACGTAGCCGTTCATCAGCCCGGATATGCTGAATAGGTAGGTAACTACCTAAGGTAGATGCGCAAGTCGCGACTTCCAATCGCAACTTACCTAAAGCACAACTGGACCTTACTCCATGTACCCCAGGAAACGAAGCTGCTCCAAGTGCGGCCCATCATTGTGGTGCGATATGATTGGCTTATTCTGTGACAGGTGGATCCAAGCCACAGCAGGCTGTAGGTGGAGCCACCTTCAATCCATCTCCGAGCGGCTTGAGCTTCGTGAGCTTTGACAGTAACGGCAGCCTTGCCTGGAACCCGGGTAGGTAGGTCCTCTCAGCGACCGATTCACCTACTTCACGACCCGAGACGCATTTCACGAAGCGGTGCGACAAACGATCACTTATTTGCGACCCAAAGCCGGCGCGCCAACGGGGTACATTCCAGCAAAACACCACCTCCTACGAGGTGGGCAACTCTTGTCAATGCCGAGTGGTTCACGCCATAGTTCAAAACAGCCCAAGAAGCCCAAAGAGCAAACCAAGGAGAAGTGGTACACGATTAGGGATATCCTACAAGAAAGGAATCGCGGCAAAATCATCGAGTACTTGGTGGACTGGGACGACGACCCCGACACCGGCGAACGGTATCGTCCTACTTGGGTAAGTCACTTGTTAATCCTTGTCATGAGGTGAATGGCCCTGACACTACTTAGACCCCGAGTAAGGACGTCACTTCAAAGGCGATATTCGACTGGAGAAAGAAACGCGACGCGATCTATCAGGGCGGCAACGCGACGTACAGAGAGTCGTCGGAAGCGCAAAGCGTTGAAGGACTACAACCTGAGGGCACAGATACGCATGCTTCAGCGGCAGACTCGCTTGTCAGCAGTCAACCCGTCCAACCGCCACGCAGACGGAAGAGAAATCAGAGGGAACAGCTTGACGACTTGGAAGACGAACTCGACCAGTCCAAGCGAAGAAGGCACCATAGCGAGGCTCCTTCCTCACTGTCATCAGGCTCCGAGGTCGACACGGATGCCGCGTCGGATGTTCTATACAATCACTCGAGTTTCTTTGTGATAATTCCCTCCAAGTTAGAGAACGATTTCTCCGAGTATATCAGTGTATCTGACTCTCAGGGCTCAACTTCAATCGGCTCACAACCTGTCTCAGCCCTCGAGGACGAGGATAGCCAAATTGTGCTTACTGATAACCTCAGTCAAAGAACCATTCCCGACTCACAGGACTACTCGGCATTTGATACACAGGACTCACAGGAGTCAAGCAAACAGCTAGTATCGTCTACCAGAAATAAGGAGGGTACCGTTACAGACCGTGAAATCCCTGATTCGCAAAAACATTCGTCGTTGAGCAAGAGCACAGGGTCTCAGGCTCCCCTTCTTAGTGCGCCAGACCACCATTCACCATTCTTTATACGCCAAACACCGCCGTCAAGCCCTTCAGTATCTTCTCAAAACTGTGAGCAGGAGCTGTCCTCGACAAGCCACATTCAGAATAGTCCTGAGCAAAGCCGGTTACCAATCCTTGGCGATATCTTGCCCACTCTCCCTGAGCCTCGGCAAACAACTGAAAGCCCAGTGCCATCGCAGACGGTGCAGTCACCATCTCAGGTGGTATCTCACTCAGCCACTCGAGCATTGAACCGACAGCTCATACGGGAACGCGACTCCTTTCCAGCTTCCATCTCCGACGAATCGATCCCATCGCATCAGCTTGACGACTTCACCACAATATACCAAGCCGAACATTCAGCAAGCCATTCGGCTGGCGGAGACTGCCACCAAGAATCGCAGTCAGCCGGGACACCAATCTTTCTGACGCAAGCTGCTTTCGACTTCGATATTCCTTGCTCGCAAGCATCTTCGTCGCCCAGGAGTGCTGCTGCAAATTCTTCGACTGCACTGTCAGCCAGCAAGAACGAGAGTGCAGCCGAGCAAATCATTGCTTGCTCGGACACGCAGAACAGTCACAGCCAAAACACTCAACTTGCACAAGTCGTCCCGCCGCTACCCAACATCTCTGCGAGCCAAATTGGACCGAGTAGAAACAGCGCCGAAGACCCCGTGGTACCCGACACCGTTCGCCGTAGGGCTTCGCGAAAGCTGTATTTCAACATCGGACCTACCAATTCGGATTCCTCTGAACCTGAATCTCCCAACGCCAGGAATTCCAGCCAATTGACAAACGAATCACCTGTAACGTACCGACGTGACGAGGACGTGGCCTCAGAAGCCGACAGCTTTCAAACGTGTATTGAAGGACGGTCACCACCTTCACCCACCTCGCCCGACAACTCACAAGACCAAGGCCATTGTGGCCAATTCACCGAGCTATCTCACATCATGGATGCACCCAGTGGCGAGCCGCTCTCGGCCATCGAGGAGCTAATGAGAATCCAGGTGGCTGCTTTGCAAGGCACATTAACCGAGGACGGCTTGCCCAGTCCTACAACCGCCACGACACATCGTCGCGAAGATGGTCCTTCAGTGACAGACGCCGTTGATCACGCGTTCTCGGCCTCTATGGCCGATCCATCTATGCACATCATATCTCAACCGCCCATCGGAAGCGACTGGCACATGGGAGAGCCGATCACATCATCTACAGAGATGCCCGTCCTATCCAGCGCCCCTCCTGGTCCAATACTTGAGGCACCTGTCGATGACACACCCCGGACAGCCAACATGGGAGACATCTTCCCTGGCAATCTCATGCCCCCCGAGGCCACCAGTCAACTTCCAATTACTATCTCTCCCTCCGACATCAGTAGATCAATCGATCCAGATGAAGCTTTGTCTGGCCTCCCTCAACATGATGAAAATCCATTGGAGATGCTGCCGGAGGACGACACCACGGCGGGGGGGAAGAGTACCGCGACGTCGCCCGATGTCGAAGAGCCGTATCTTTCAGGCCCCCCAGCAGCGGTAGACCAGAGCGAGTATTTGGTCACTGTGTCGTTTCCGGCGAATATCCGCCCTTTGTATCTGAGCACATTGACGGCATACAAGCGCGAAATCGAAAAGTTCAACCAGGCTTTGCAGTCCGATGAGGGCTTTCCGGACCAAGCCACTGTGGATTCCATCGGAAGACTCTTCAACCAGCTTCGGGATATCTGCGACATGCCCGCATCTCTCGATGGTCCTTCGATCGATGCCTTGTCGGCAATTGATCTCAAGAAGCACGCCATGGGCACTAACAGCAAGTTCTTCTTCGTCGGTCGGTTCCTCGAGCGACTGCAGACAAGCCACAAGAAGGTCCTTATTATTGTGCGCGACACAAACATCATTGGCTATCTCGAAGCTGTTGCCGGAACCGGAGGCATGGCCTACTCTCTCAAGGGCCTGCATGAGCTCGAGAACCAGGACGAGCACTCCTTGCTTATCGTGCTTGTCCATACCGAGCAGCCTCTTGTCGACGATTTGAGCGACTTTGACGTCGTCATTGGCTTTGATAGCGGCATCATGCGAACCGATATCTTGAGTCAGTGGGCTGAGATGAGCGGTAAAAAGCCGATGCTGATCAGACTCATGACAACCTGCTCCATTGAGCACCTCGAATTGATGATGCCGTCAGAGCTTGAGGGTCTGGAGAGGCAGAATGCTCTGCTTATTGCCTTGTTCCAGGCAAGACCTTTTGTCGCCAACGACGAGCAGGGCGAAATGATTGATCAGTTCACCTCGCTGTTCGCCAGCCAAGCAATCGACCCTGACCCCGGATTTGGATGGGAACCTGAGCCGATTCCTTCATCTGTCCTAGACTTTTACTCCAGCACCCAGCCTCAGACCCAGATACCGCCTACTGCGGAGGAGCTGACCACCCGCAAGCGCAAAGCTGTGAGTTGTCTTTCTGTATAAGGCGGTAGTCAACTAATGCGCGGATTTAGGATGAGGGCTCGCAACAAGTCACTAAGCGTCTGCGCGTGAGCGATTCACCAGGACGAGCTGTGGGTGACATCGATGCGGCAGTCCATAACCATCTCAACCCAGACCCATCCCGTGTTCACGTCGAGACCACTCAAAGTCACTTAGACTCGCTGACCACCAAGGTGCGTCACATATATCTCCAAGTCCTGCTAAAGCTAACCCCATCGAAGGTCTCCGAGCTTGAGTATCAGTTGGAGGAGAAGACGGCCTTGGAAATGAACCTCCGCAAGCACGTCACCAATCTTTCGAAGAGAGTCAAGAGTCATGACAAGACCATAAATCTCATACAGGAGAGACACATGGCCGCACTCCGGGAGCGAAGCCAATATGAAGCTCAGCGGGATGAAGCGCAGAAAAACGAGGGTAAAGCCTGGGAGGAGAGCCGGCACTGGCAGAGCAAGGCAAAGACCTTGGAAGAAGAGCTCAAGAAGAAAACCACCACTCTCGAAGAGGCTCTCGTCAATGCCGGCACCGTCGCTACTGAGACCTTCAGAGAAAAGACGGAAGAACTCAACAGGGCTCTGGCGAAGATTACGGAGCTGGAGAAGAAGCTCGAGAGCCGCGATGGCGAACTAGGATACGCCAGAGACGCTTACCAGACGGCCAACCATGCCAACAGCGAGCTAGCCCGGGAGAACCGCAATCTCAAAGAACAGGTTGACCTGCTGCAAAAGTCAGCGGTGGGCAATTTGGCGCAGGTCCAGAACGTGAACGCCGGAGAACAGGTTAAGGAGATGCAGCGGCAAATCGCCGAAACTCAGGCCATCTCCAAGGACCGCGAGAAGGAGCTCGCTCGAGTCGAAAAGGAGCTGAGAGCGCTCAAGAACGGACGACGGGAGACGAGGCAGCAGAGCGTACCCCGGAGCCCAAGATTGGGCATGATGAGCCCGAGGACGGGACGCGCTGCGGGAGGTTCTGCTAGCAGGGGCACTTCACCCACGCCGCACGAGTCGGCTGGCGGCACGCCAGTTCCTGGTCTGCAATTCTTCAATACACCGGCCAACGGCCGATGGGGTCACCTCCGAGACTAAGGGGATGCTGGTTCAAGCCTCGGGGAAGGTGGAGAGGACTATATTGTGTTTACCTGTACTGTTGTTAGTGATGGGGTCGGATGTTTACCCCGTGAGAGATACCATTGAGGAAACGGTGTAATGGTTGGCTCTGGTTGTTCTCATCAGCTAGACCCAAAAGAAGCAATTCGCATTGCAAGAA